GAATTACTCCTGGGAGTGCTCGGAGGACCATATGGGATGTTGGGAATCGAACCCGGATTGACTGTGTGCAAGGCAAATGCCCTATCGGCTGTGCTATTGCTTCAGCCCCTATTTTTATTTTCTAAGTGCAGCAGTTTCTAAGGATGACTTGTGGTTAGAGTTTCCTGGGCTCCCTGCCGCCCGATTTTCCTTCCTCCCGCTCTCTGTCCCCGCCCCATCCCATGTCCTTGCCATCAGCTTTCTTACCGTGGGAAACCCTCATCCTGTCCACGATTAGCAGAGGCTCTAAGACACTAGAAACCTGAAGGTATGAAGGGGGCCTGGTGCTTGGGGGGTGTCCACACGTGTGGGCTTCCTCCTGCCCTAGTGCTGTGGAGGCCTGGAGTGTGGGGAGCAGGGGCCAGAGGGTCTGCGGACAGGTTTGGAATGGTGGCCGGGACACCCTCACCCCACTTGTCCTGGAGCTCTGAATGCACGCCCCCCACCTCTTGTTCTGTGTCCCGGGAAGCAGCTCAAGATGTGCCAAGCCCAGTGGGCATCCCTGGCTGCAAACACCCGCCCGTGTGCCCCTTTCTGCAGCTCTCACTGGGTCCCACGTGAATGGGCGCTTTAGTCCAGCCCTTAGTTCTTTAGCGTCTGGCTTTCTGCCCCTCTCAGAAGTCAGGGTCCCGCCAGCCTTGCACAGATGGGGGCCGGAGAGACCCCGGCTTCCCTCCTGCCCCTGCCAGCCCTTCTGCTCTTGTTTCCCACCCTCCAAATTCCCCTTGACTGGGGCCAAGCGATAGTACAGCAGGGAGGGCATTTACTTTGCACGTGGCCGACCCGGGTTCAATCCCCGGCATCCCATAGGGTCCCCCATGCTCTGCCAGGACTAACCCCTGAGCATCGGTGGGTGTGACGCAAAAAGCTTAAAAAAAAAAAGATCGGGCTGGAGCCATAGCACAGCGGGTAGGGTGTTTGCCTTGTGTGCAGCCAACCCGGGTTCGATCCCCCGCATCCCATATGGTTCCCTGAGTACTTCCAGGAGTAATTCCTGAGTGCATGAACAAGGAATAACCCCTGTGCAATGCCGGGTGTGACCCAAAAAGAAAAAAAAAAAAGACCAAACTCCCCGTGACCTGTCTCTCCCACTCACTCTTCCTTGTCCTTTGGGGTCAGCCTTTACTAGCAGTTTTGGGGACTTCAGAGGTAGCACGGGCTGTGGGCCCTGGAGCCTTCTCCCCGGCATCCCTTCCACAGCCCCTTGATTACCCCCAGGTCTCAAGTATCCTGCAGTAGCCCCCGGGCCCCATAGGGTCCCCCAATGCACTGCCAGGAGCATCAGTGGGTGTGACCCAAAGAGTTTAAAAAAAAAAAAAGATTGGGTTGGAGCCTTAGCACAGCGGACTCATCTCCCTTCGCTCTCCCCACCACCGAGCTTGTGATGTCCTTGCCCGGGAGCCCATGTGGGTGCCCCTGGACACGCCTCCCGTGCCTCTGTGGCATTAGACTGTGCCCTGATGGGGACATGAGCTTGCTCGGTGCCCTGGGCCCGCTGCTGCACGCTGACCTGGGCACATAGGATGCGCCAAGCTGGGGCCGGTGGAGCACCGGCCAGGCCATTGTCAGGTGGAGACTCGGAGGCCGGGTGCGAGGGTGCTGGGGCCAGTGGCGCCTGACAAGGACGTGCCACCCCTCCGCAGACGGACCCGGTGCGGCTGACGCAGCTGTACGAGCAGGCGCGCTGGGACCTGCTGCTGGAGGAGACGGACTGCACGGAAGAGGAGATGATGGTGTTCGCTGCGCTGCAGGTGCGGGGGGCGGGGCAGGGGGCGGGGCAGGGGCGGGGCGTAGTGGGGCGCCTTTGCGGCTCGCTCAGTCCCCCCTCCCTCCCACCCCAGTACCACATTAACAAGCTGACCCAAAGCGGGGAGGTGGGCGAGCAGGCCGGCTCCGACCCGGGGCTGGACGACCTGGACGCAGCCCTGAACAACCTGGAGGTGAAGCTGGAGGGCTCGACGCCCAACGAAGTGCTGGTGAGCAGGGCGCCCGCGTGGGGGTCCGGGTGGAGCCTGCAACCCCGGGCTCCCCTCTGACTCCCCCGCTCCGCAGGACAGCCTCACCACCATCCCGGAGCTCAAGGACAATCTGCGCATCTTCCGGTGAGTGAGGGCGGGGGGGGGGGGGGTAGAGAAGGGGAGGGGCGGGGGCAGCCCTCGAACCCTCCGTGCCCACCCGCAGGCCGCGGAAGCTGACCCTGAAGGGGTACCGCCAGCACTGGGTGGTTTTCAAGGACACCACGTTGTCTTACTACAAGAACCAGGAGGAGGCCCCGGGGGACCCCATCCAACAGCTTAACCTCAAGAGTGAGTGGCCAGGACGGGGACCGGCGCTGAGAATGGGGGTGCTCACAGCCTCCCTTTGGGGGGCTGGGAAAGATGCGCCCCCCATGCTCCAGCTCAGAACCCTTCTCCCTGACCTTCTAGACAAGCCTTTTTTACCCTCCAGGCTGTGAAGTGGTCCCCGACGTCAATGTCTCAAGCCAGAAGTTCTGCATCAAACTCCTGGTGCCCTCCCCGGAGGGCATGAGTGAAATCCACCTGCGGTGCCAGGATGTGAGTGGGGCCGGGTTGGGCCTGCTGGGCCTGGGGGGCGGAGCTAGGTGGTGGGTGGGGTGGGACCTGTTGGTCTGGGGGCGGGGCTAGTTGATAGACAGGGCGGTGCTAGTGGTGGGCGGGGCGGGGCCTGGAGGGGTGAGACTGGGTGGTAAGATGGGAGTGGACGGTGGGCAGGGCCAGCATCAGCTAGGGGCTGGGCTTAGAGGGGCGGGACTTGCCGGCTGCTGTGGGGGGACCGGGCCTTTGGGAACCCCCAGCCTCCTAGAAGCTGCCCACTTGCCCACCTCCTCCACAGGAGCAGCAGTATGCCCATTGGATGGCCGCCTGCCGCCTGGCCTCCAAGGGCCGCACCATGGCCGACAGCAGCTACAACAGTGAGGTACAGGCCATCCTGGCCTTCCTCAACCTGCAGCGCTCCGGAGGGGGCTCCGGGGGCCCCACACAGGGTCCCGATGCCACCACGGAGGGCCTCAACCCCTACGGCCTGGTGGCCCCCCGCTTTCAGCGCAAGCTGAAGGCCAAGCAGGTACCAAGGGAGTGGACTCAGGGCTGAACCGTTGTGTCCACCTGGGCTTGCTGCACCCCAGGATCACCATACCCGCTCTCTCTGGGAGGTCCCCAGCTTTCTCATCCTTTGCCGCACACGGGTCCCTGCGAGAGAGGGACTCCTCTGCTGGTCCCCATGTCTTGGGAGGGGTCCTGTATCCATGTCCCCCTCAAAGACCTGCTCAGCTCCTGTGGGTAGAGGTGAGCAGGATCGTCGGGGGCCCAGGCCTGGGCACTGCCCTGGCCCAGGTTCCGAGGGCTGCCTGGTCATGTGGGCAGGCCGAGGAGGGCTGGCCCTCACTGGTGGGGTTGCACAGCTCACGCCGCGGATCCTGGAAGCCCACCAGCACGTAGCCCAGCTCTCACTGTCCGAGGCCCAGCTGCGCTTCATCCAGGCCTGGCAGTCCCTGCCCGACTTCGGCATCTCCTATTTCACTGTCAGGTACGAGGCCGCCCCATTCTCCGCGCGCAGACCTGGTCATGGATGCCCGTGTGTTCCCCATCGTGCACCCCAGAGCAGACAAGAGAGGCGTCAGAACGGGCAGGCAGGGGGCCAGTTCCCACGACAGCTTGGCTGGGTCTTTCCCTCCTGGGCCTCTGTCAGCATCTCAGAGGGACAGGCCTGCAATGACAGGGGAGCGTCCAGGTCCCGAGCCTGCAGCTGTGTGAGATGGGAGTGAGACGGGGATGATGATCTGGACCCAGCAAGGCACTGCTGCCTGCTGCTGCTGAATGCTAATGACAGCCGTTTTCCTGACACCCATTTTCCAAAGGGGAAACTTGGGGCCTCGGGAACCTTTTTTTATCTTGGTTTTGGGACCCTTGGCTGTGTTCAGGGCTGACTCCTGGCGGGACTCCAGGGACCATAGGTGGTGCTGGGGAGGTAACACACAGGTTGGACACTCCAAGGGAAGGGCCTTACCTCTGAGCTGCTCCTGTGCCTTCGGGGTGCAGAGATCCTTCCTGGCTCCCTTCACCGCTGATTCACTCGCTGTGGGGCACTTCGGGACCGTGCAGGCCTGGGTCCTAGCTCAACACTTTTCCTTCGGAGACTAGGTTCAAGGGGAGCAGGAAAGACGAGATCCTGGGCATCGCCAACAACCGACTAATCCGCATTGACTTGGCTGTGGGTGACGTGGTCAAGACCTGGCGCTTCAGTAATATGCGCCAGTGGAATGTCAACTGGGACATTCAGCAGGTGGGCTGGTGTAGGGGCGGGGCCCGAGGGGGCTGGAGCCGCTGTGGGCGGGGCCTGGGGCTGCTATGGGCGGAGCCAGACTAGGGGTCCAATGGGCTGCTTCCTGCTCCACTGTACTAGCCTCTCCCTTCCACGTCCTCTGTCCTCCCTGCAGGTGGCCATCGAGTTCGACGAACACATCAACGTGGCTTTCAGCTGCATGTCTGCCAGCTGCCGCATTGTGCATGAGTACATCGGGGGCTACATCTTCCTGTCCACGCGGGAGCGGGCCCGAGGGGAGGAACTAGATGAAGACCTTTTCCTCCAGCTCACCGGAGGCCACGAAGCTTTCTGAGGCTGGTCTTTCTGCCCTCGTCCCCACTCACCACCTGCCACGGCCACTCCCAAGCCCACACCTCCTGGGACGCACTGCTCCTGGGACGCACTGCTCACACCCTCCCCAAACACGCAGCGAATGGGGCATATGTACCCGCTGCCGCTGGCTTTGTGCAATCCAGGGACCTGCTAGGGCCAGACTCCCATCCTGCAGACTAGGGAGGGTGCGCCCTGGGCTCACACTGGGCCCCCTACCCTGGTGTCCCAGTGACCAAGACCGACAACCCTGGCCTGATAAATAGTCTCTTGAGCTCATGGACCAGTTGCTGGTACCGACTGACAATTCATGGTACAAACTGAAGTTTCTCTTTTGTTAATCTTATACCTTTATCTTTTAAATAAATATTTTATTGGGGGACTGTTCTTCCTCTGGACCAGTGCTGGGAGCCATTCTGACGCTCAGTCTCTACATCACCAGACAAGGAGAGTGGCTTTCCTGAGACAAAGGCAAGAATTAGTTAGCAAATGGGAGACAGGATGGGGCTGGGGGTGGGATGAGAGGCAGGATGGGAGGGACAGGCAGAACGGAGGGTGCAGGGAGGTGGCGGGAGGTTCTCACGGCTGGGCCGGAGCTGCAGGGCCTCCTTGAAGTACTTGGGAGGCAGGAAGCCCTCAGCATTGCCTGGAGTCAGGATCACCCCATTGGCGGAGCGGAAGAAGGGGATTCCATCTGCAGAGAGAGCCAGAGCCGTGGTTCTGGCGTCCCTGGGGCCCGCTCCATCCCCACTGGGCGCAGACTCACCTGCCAGGGCCAGGGATCCATGAATGAACACAGCCACTTCGCAGTTTGCCCGCAGACCTGTGGAGACAACCGGAGCTGGGCACTGGGGACCTTGGTGCTGTGGTCAGCACAACCGGGGTAGGCGGGGGCCCTGGGCTCAGGAGCAGAACGGGGAACACGATGGGATGATCTTGGACTTGGATGAGAGGCTGTGAAATGTCCAGAAAAGGACCCAAGAGGACAGAGTGGGTGGGAGGGGCTGGCGTGGGAGACACTGACCGCTGGTGACCTTGGGGTCCCCAGGCAGGCCTGGCGCCAGGTGGATGTGAGTCCGCCCACAGCACGACAGGCCGCTGCGCAGAATGGAAGGCCAGTGGCGCCAGAAGGTGCCATGCACCAGCACGGGGGGCAGGGCCTCCGGCGTCTCCAGGGGTGTCAGCTCCAGCTCAGGCACCTGGAATGGGGGGAGGGCAGCCACGAGGCCTCCTCGCATGCAGGCTTCCCCCACCCGCCCCTGCCCAGTTCTCTTCCCCAGTCTCCTTCAGCACCCACCTGTAGGGAGTGGCCCTGATTGGCCCGGATGAGGGGGCCAGTACCGGGGTCCCCTGGCTGAAGGGCGAACCGCTGCTTCTCATTGGTGTCCACCACGCGCCGCACGTCTTCCTCAGAGAAGCCTCGGAACTGAGGCAGCTGCAGGAGGGCGCTCAGGGGCACAAAGCCGTCTGCAGGCAGGCAGGTGGGCTGCGCTGAACTCCGAGCTAGTGTTAGCCGGGGAGCCACAGGCCACCAGAACAGAGCCTAAGGTGGTGGGGGTGCCCTGAGTGACTTTTAGAACCCCCCCCCGCCCTTTCTAGATCTCAGCTGCTTCAACATACAGGATATGCACCATGGGGGCGGGGGCACAGACATAAATCACTCCTTTTCTTAAATTTTGGTTTTGGGGTCACACCTGGTGGTGTTCAGGACTGACTCCTGGCTCTGTGCTCAAGAATCCCTCCTGACCATATGTGGTGCGAGGGATCGAACCTGGGTCGGCTGCATACAAGGCAAGTACACTATCCGCTGTACTATCTCTCTGGCCCCCTATTTTATTTCACTTGTGTTTGGGGGCTACAGCCTGTAGTGCTCAAGATTTACCCCTACCTTTACGCTCAGCGATCACTCCTTGAGGGGCTCTGGGGAGCACTTGGGCATGTGAGGTGCCAGGGATCAAACCACCCAGGCACGTCATGCTTGAGACAAGCACCTAACCCGCTGTGCCATTTCTCCAGCCCATAAAGTCCCCCATTCCAGGACAGGGAGTGGACACTTGGAATAAGCATCACTTGTTCAACACTCCTGCCTATGGCTGGGCAGCATGCACGAGTGCATTTGGCTGGAAGGACTTCCCCGGAGGATCTATCACTGGTACGACACAGTGCCCTGGGCTTCTCCTACCTGTCCCTGCGGGCAGAGGGGCCCTCCCTCTATGCTGTCCCCGTGGTGCAGTCCCTCTGCACATGGGCCCAGGGACTTGGGTGTTCTCCCAGAGCCTCCCTCACTTACCGGCCCCCATGGGAAGCCCCAACTTCAGAGCGCCGTGGCGCAGGGCGTAGGACAGGGCTTTGGACAATCGCACGTTCGCATCCTGAAAGAGGCCAGAGGCAGCCCCTGTCCCACTCCAGCCCTGAACGCTGAGGGAGCCCCCCGCAGGAGACTACGGGAACGAAGCCCCCAGAGCTGCCCAAATCCTGAGGCCCAGCACAGAGCAACCCCCCATTCAGCGCGCAGGCCCCCTCCCCAGCCCCCCACCATGTGGGAGGGGAAGGAAGGGCGCACCTGCTCCCGGGGTCTGTGAGCCCTCCTCTCCCTGGGCCCCGCTGCCTGCTGCCTCCTGCCTCCAGAAGAGTCCATGGGCGGCCGGCGGGGCAGCGTCAGTGCAGCCTGGAGGAACCAAGTCCGCCCTGCCCGGTCCGTCACCAAACCCCGGGATCGGGGAGCTGCGAGGAGGGACAGTCTGCTCCTGCCTTTCACTGCACGCCTGGTACCCAGGCAAGACTTGTCCCAAAGTCACTGTGTGTCCGCCACGAAAAGCCAGGGGGCCGAGCCCCCGCACTCCAGCCTCGTGGGTCGGCCCTTCCAGAAGGACCTTCTGCATAGCCGGGAGGGCGGGCGTCCAAGGAGCGACCAGCGGCGACCGCTGACACACGAGGACGCTTCCGGACTCCCCGCGGCCCGCGAGCCTGCGCGCCGGAGCCGGCCAATAAGAAGCCGAGGCCGCAGGGGGCGGGCACTTCCGCTCGCGGGGAGGGGCGGGGCCCGCGGCCGGCCTGCGGGTTGGTGAGTACCCGCCGCAGGCTGGCGATCTGGACCCCCTGGAGGGACCCAGCGCGTTCGAGGTTAGAGGCATCACCCCTGGGACTGGGAGACACGGGCTGTGGAGCGGTGACAGAGCCCAGGACCTCTGGGTGATAGGGATGCCCGGGAGCCCGCGCAATGTCAGGCGGCGGGAGTCTTGGTGGGACGGGAGGCGAGAGAAGATGTCAGTGGTCAGGGGAGGTGATCAAGAAACGCAGGAGGGCTGGGAAGAGGCAGGGAGATGCAGAAGCGCCTCTGGAGAGGTCGGTGACAGTGGGTGTCCTGTGGCAGCGGGAGGTCCGGGCAGCGGGTGTCCGAGGGTGGCTGTGGTCCTCCGCGAGGTGACAGGTCTGTCTGTGTCCTCTCCCAGAGCTGCCCTCTCCAGGCCATGGACCCTGAGGTGTCCCTGCTGCTTATCTGTCCCCCGGGGGGTCTGCCAGAGGAGCAGGTGCGGGTGGAGCTGAGCCCCGCCCATGACCGGCGCCCGCTGCCAGGAGGGGACGAGGCCATCTCTGCTATCTGGGAGAGCCGACTCCAGACCCAGCCCTGGCTCTTCGACGCCCCCAAGTTCCGCCTGCACTCCACCGTCCTGGAGTCCACTGGCTCAGCGGGGCCGCTGTTGCTCCTGCGCCTGGGCCTGACTTCCTACCGAGACTTCCTGGGCACCAACTGGTCCAACTCAGCTGCGTGCCTGCAGCAGCAGGGCGTCGCCGACTGGGGTGACAAGCAGGCCTACCTGGCTGACCCCCTCGGGGTGGGCGCTGCCCTGGTCACCGCTGACGGTTTCCTTGTCTTCCTGCACCGCTCTCGGCAGGTGGCTGAGGCCCCTGGACTGCTGGATGTGCCCGGGGGACACCCTGAGCCCCAGGTGAGCTGCCAGACTGGGAGTACAGGTGCCGAGACCCAGAGAGTTACCTTATCTGGAAAGGGATTGCTGACTGGGGGCTTCTCTGAAGTCAGTGCGCTGGGCATCCCCTCAGTCTCCCCGCTGACCCTGGCCCTCAATTTGTGGGCAGCTAGGCAGTGGGGAGGTGGGAGGGACAGAGGATCTAGCCAACCCTCTGGTTACCTGTCTGGGAAAGGAAGACTGATCTTGTGCCCAATGGAACATTCAGGGCCCCTGTGTGTGGGGGAGGCAAGGTGGGAAGATATGGGTATCGGGGACTGAGCATGTGTGACCTCCCCCAGGCCCTCTGTCCTGGCGACAGCCCCTCACACAAGGACTTCCCCAGGGAGCTGGTGGTGCATGAACTCTTCTCTAGCATCCTCCAGGAGATCTGTGATGAGGTGAGTGAGGATGAGGTGGGCCGTGCAGGATTCAGGGCTGGTTAGCAGGAAGGCCTGCAGGCACAAGAGCCTTTTTTTTTTTTTTGCTTTTTTGGGTCACACCTGGCGATGCACGGGGGTTACTCCTGCACTCCGCCGTTCTGCACTCAGGAATCACCCCTGGCGGTGCTTGGAGGATCATATGGGATGCTGGGAATCGAACCTGGGTTGGCTGCATGCAAGGCAAATGCCCTACCCACTGTGCTATCGCTCTAGCCCCCAAGGACCTTCTTTTTTATTGGGAGGGGGGCGCTCTAGGCTGTGCTCAGAAGCCATTCCTGGCTCTATGCTCAGGGATCACTCCTGGTGGTGCTCGGGACTGAACCTGGGTCTGCTGCATGCAAGGCAGGTACTGTCTCTCCAGCCCTGGCATGTGGCCTGAGTGACGAGCTTGGTTGTTTACCCTTACGTGTATGGGAGGCTCTGAGCCTTGGGGTGTTTCTTATTTCAGGGATTAACTTCTTGCCTGCTCTCCAGATGTAAGGAAGGATAGGGAGTTCATAGGAGTACTGGCAATGAAATGAGGTTCCCTTGGGGCCTGTGACCTTGGGCAAATAATTCCATCTCTGCATCTGTTTTTCCTTTCTGTGAAGTGAGCGCACTGAGACTGGGTATTCCAGGATGCCAAGTGCCCAAACTGAAAATCCTCTAATGCCATGTGAAAGGAGCCGGTCTGCTGTATTAAAGGCAGAGCGCATATGGGCATGGGCACTGACAGGTGGGACCCTCTCGCCCACCCTAGGTGAACGTGCCACTACTCACCCTGAGCCAGCCGCTGCTACTGGGCATTGCCCGCAACCAGACCAGTGCCGGCCGTGCCAGTGCTGAATTCTTTGTTCAGTGAGTGAGCTCCAGGGGAGGACAAAGTTCTGGACCCAAGGGTGGGGGGAAAAGTTAAGGAGCTTGGCTGAGACGCCTGGGTCCCCAGGACCTGGGCACCCACCAGCTTATTCTCTTGTCCTTGTCCAGGTGCAGCCTGACTTCTGAGCAGGTGAGGAAGTACTACCTGAGTGGGGGCCCTGAGGCCCATGAATCCACGGGGATCATCTTTGTCGAGACCCAGGTATGAGATGGCAAAGTGTATCTGCTTGGTCAGGGGAGCTGGTGATTGATGGTGAATCTACACCCCTGCATGCCGGGTCACTGGAGTCCCCCAGATCTCTCAGAGCTTCCGTTAGGAGCCACAAAAGTTCATTTGGGGATGCCTGTGCACCCGTTAGTAGCCTCACCCCCACCAAGGGTGCAGTGCAGAGGGGTTCTGCTGCTCGGGCATGTTCCGGCAGGATACCCGAATGCTTCCGTCTCCCTACAGAGAGTACAGAGGTTGCAAGAGACCGAAATGTGGGCTGAGCTCTGCCCCTCCGCCAAAGGCGCCATCTTCCTCTACAACCTGGTCCAGGGCAGTTCCACATGAGTGCCCTGGGATGCCCCCGACCTATCACCGTGACTCAGAAGGCAATAAAGGACTTTATTCTTGGATTCCATTGGCATCTGCTATTTCCGTAAGACAGGGAGGGGAGAGAACCCTGCATGGGCAAGAGGCAGGACACGCGACTTGGAGGGGTTGTGGGGGATCCTCTGCAGGGCCCTGGGATGGAAGCGGCCCTGTGAAATGCCTCTTGCTGTAGAGCAGCGCAACAGCCACGCCCACCTGCCTGGCTGGTGGCGGCTGGGCCCGCAAGCTCGCCCAGGGTCGGGGTGCCTGTTCTCAGGCCGCCCGGCGGCAGGGCAGCTGGCCTGCCTCGGGGGTGGGGCCGAGACGCTGACGGCCAATGGATGAGCGAGGGCGGAACCTCCGCGCGGCCCTTCCGCCGGGGGGTGTGGCGCGCCAGAGCCAATCAGCGCGTGGGGGCGGGGCCAGCCCAGGGTCTGGAAATGGCGGCGGTCGCAGAGTCCGTGAGTGCGGCGGGGGCGGGGCTTAGCTGTGGCTCCTCCTCCGCTCTCCCCCCTCCCCACCCCGCGGTCCCCGGGTGGAGAGGAGGGGTCTTGGCGTCGGGGGCTGGTGGTCTTCACCCCGAGGTCACTGTGGAGCGGGGCCCCCGGGTCAGGGGCGGGACAGATCGTGGACCCTGGAGGCTGGTCCTCAGTCTGGAGGCTCCACCCGCCCCCACCCCCGGCCCACCTTCAGTTTCCCCTGCAAGGAACCGCGGCTAAGCCCCTTCCCCTGCCCCCTGGGCGCTGCCCTCAGGCCCCGTCTGGTTCCCAATGCACTCGTCTCTGTGGCCTCCTTCCCCCAGCTGCTCGCCTGCCGCCATGCTGCCCCTGCGCCTCTGCCCGCGGTGGCCGCGCAACCCTCCCACCCGGCTCCTCGCGGCGGCTGCCCGGCAGCGGTGAGTCGCTCCTCCCGTGGGGGTTGAGGTCGTGGCCGCTCCCGGCCCTGCCCGAGGCGCGCGGGTCGCTGTGAGCCCCCCGCGCCGTGTCAGAGGCGGCGCAGGCTCGGCGCAGGTAACCCTCACCTTCAGGGCTGAGGACACCGGCTCGGATCTTAAGGGACGACCCCCAAGGTCATACCGCAGTCGCCGGTGTGGATCCTGAGCCCAGGCTGATCCCATGGGCTTTCCGCAACTCTCTGGTGGTCGTGAGCATCACCGGGTCCGACTGTTCAGGCCCCCGGTGGTGGGCCTGGGTGCGAGGTGGGGAGGGCGGTTTGCAAAATCGCAGATCTTTGGACCCTGCTCTGGCGGTTCTGATCAGGAATCTGATCCGCAGGCATGAGGTGAGGCTCAGGAATTTGCCCTTGTGGTTGAGGGTTTTTTTTGGGTTTTTTTTTTTTTTTGGTTTTGGGTTTTGGTTTGTTTTTTTGGGGGGGGCACACCCCGCAATGCTCAGGGGTGACTCCTGGCTCTGCACTCAGGAATCACTCCTGGCGGGGGATCATTTGGGATATTGGGGATTGAGCCCCGCCAGTCTGCCACATGCGAGGGAACTGCCGTACCCGCTGTACTGTCGCTCCGGCTCCTGCCCTTGTTTTTGAGCAGTGTTCCAGGTGTTTCTGATGTGAGGGTTCTGAGGATTATGCCCTCGGACCTTCTAATCCTTGTCATTACTCTGAAACCTCATCAAGAAGCCCAATTTCCCTTGGGTCCCCCTCGACCTGCTCAGTGTCTGGTTGCTGAGTTGGAGGGTGTGGCCTGGGGAGGTTTGTGGGGGGGGTAGGGAGAGGGTTTCCCCAGGTCCCCTGGGGCCCTGCACGTTCTGGCCTCTCTCCACAGGTCTGGCCCCAGCAACTACTATGAACTGTTGGGGGTGCACCCTAGTGCCAGCACTGAAGAAGTTAAACGAGCTTTCTTCTCTAAATCCAAAGAGGTACCAGTGGCCCCAGGGGTGCAAGGGGAAGGGAAGAGGGAAGGCGAGGTCAGACCCCAGTTGGGGTCCACGCCCAGGAGCAGGGAGGGGCTGGAGTGATAGTACAGAGGGTAACAGGCTACCTGCCTTGCTTGTGCCTGACCTGGGTTCGATCCTAGCACCCCATATGGCCCCTGAACCTTCAGGGAGTGATCCCTGAAGCACAGAGCTAGGAGTAAGCGATGATGAGCACTGCTGAGTGAGAACCCCAAACAAACAGATTCCTAGGAGCTAATCCAAGTGACCTGGGTGCCATATTCCCGCAGCGGCCACGGGGTGTTGCGTGTGCGTGTGCCAAGGGCAGACATCTGCTCCAGAATGTCGGAAGCAGAAGCCTGGGCTCCATCTGGTGGGCGGGCACTGGGACTCTTTACCTGCTCACACTTGTTCTGCGAATGCTCAGTGCTCAGTGCTCAGGGGCTAGTCCCAGCTCCCTGCTCAGCAGTGACCCCTGGTGGTGCTCGCGGCACCATACACCTGCCAGAGATTGAACAGGAATTGGCCACGCTGTGAGGCTGATGCTGTAAGCCCTGGGCCATCTCTTGAGGGGCCATAGCAGGCAGGCAGGCCAGAGCCCCGAGTCTGTGCTCCCTCCAGCAGCGGCCAGATGCGCGGCTGTTCTCTCGGAGGGGTCCTGGGAGGGGCGTGGAAGGGAAGATGAGGGAAGTCCTGCCCCACCCCAGCTCCACCCTGACCGGGACCCGGGGAACCCGACCCTGCACAGCCGCTTTGTGGAGCTGAGTGAGGCCTACCAAGTGCTCAGCCACGCGGAGAGCCGCCGGAACTACGACCTGCAGCTCCGTTCTGCCGCCGCCCCGACCCCCGGCGCCTCGGGCCCTCACAGGCCGGTGCATCAGACATACAGGTAGGCCTCTGGCCCCGGTGCTCCTGCCCCGGGGCAGCTGGGAACCTCATCCCCACACTCTCTCCTTCCCCCCAGAAGCGCTTGGGAAGACCCCAATGCAAGATACTGGGCGCAGTTCCGTAGCGCGAGGCCGCAGGGGCCAGAGGAGAGGCGGCGGCAGCAGAAACTCAACCAGCGGGTGATGGGGTACTGCCTGCTGGTCATGCTGGCGGGCATGGGCCTGCACTACGTGGCCTTCAGGTGTGCTCCCTAGGGGGCGGGCATGGGGGGGGCTGAGTGAAGCCCACTGGGACAGCCGTTTGTCCCCTCCACCTCTGTGGCCAGCACTCAGGGGTCTCCAGAGCCTCCCCTGACTTGGCAATAGCCTCAAACCCTGGAGGCTAATGTCCTGTCTAGGACCTGTGATTTGAATGTGAACCGTTGGTGCTGGCCCCAAGCACCTGCATGCTTGAGAAGGAAATGCGTTCCATTCTAACGGGGCCTCGCTGGCCACTGTCCCTCCCCCTCGGCCACTCTCTCCCACCTGCCAACGCTGCTGCTGGGGACATCCTTTTAGTCCCCTGGGAGCTGATCAGCAGATCTGTGGTCACTCCCTGCAACAGGACAACCAGGGGTCTGGGTCACCACTGGGCTCTGGCCAGCTCGGGTCACTCTGACCCTCTCCCCATCCTGTCTCAGGCACGGGTGTCTGAGATCCTCCAGTAGGTGGTGGTGGGGCAACTCGGAGGGGCAGGAGGGACCCAGAGCTCACTGTGACCCCTTGCAGGAAGCTGGAACAGATGCACCGAAGCTTCATGGACGAGAAGGACCGGATCATCACGGCCATCTACAACGAGGCCCGCGCCAGGTCTGACCCTGCTCCTCTGTCCCCCTCCGCGGCGCGGCCCCCTCGGCTCCCCAGCCACCCCGGTGGTCTCTCCCGCAGGGCCAAGAAGGCCAGGCTGCAGAAGGAACCACAGCAGAACCAGCAGCCGCCGCCCGGGCCGGTCCCGGGCCCCGAGGTCGTGCGCCCGGGCAGCAGCCCCTGAGTGCTGTCCACTCCCCCAAAGTCCTGCAATAAAGACCTTCTCAGAGCTCGCGTCCGGCTCCGTCCTTGGGTGCTGCCCACGGCGGGGGGTGGAGGTGGGGGGCGTGGGGGACGACCCTGTCCCCACCGAGGCGGGAAGGGGTGTCGGCAGGAGGCGGGCCCGCCCGCGGCCTCGCCCCCGCCCCGCCCCCGCCCGCGGCCCGGTGGGGCGCGCGTGTCTCGGTCACATGAGCCGCCCGCCGGGCCCGGCCCCCCGCCGCCCCCGTCGTCCCCGCCGCCCGCCGCCGCCGCCGCCGCCGCCGCCGGCTGCCCACCCGCCCGGCTCCCCCGGCCGCCGCCGCGGCGCTGCGCTGCGCTGCCTGCGCCCAGGGCTCGGGAGGGGGCCGCGGAGGAGCCGCCCCCCGCGCCCGGCCCCCGGCCGCCGCGCCCGGGCCCGCGCCATGGGGCTCTGGCTGCCGCCGCCCCCCGCGCCGCCGGGCTAGGGCGATGCGGGCGCCCCCGGCGCGCGGCCCCCGCGGGCACCATGAGCCCCCTCCTCCGCCGCCTGCTGCTCGCCGCGCTCCTGCAGCTGGCCCCGGCCCAGGTACGTGCGGCGCGCCCGCCCGCGGTGCCCTCTCAAGGTTGGCGGAAGTGGGCAGGCGCGGGATGGGCCCCGGCCGGCTGGCTGCGGGGTCTGCCCCGGCCTCGGCATCCCCCCCTCCACCCCGGAGGTGACCCCTCAGCCCCGCAGCCCGGCTGGGGACCCCTCCCCTGCACCACCCCGGCCCTGGGGGTGCCACCTGGGGGGTGGGGCCGAGCTTGCCCGTGCCCCCTGCTGACCTGCCTGGCTCTAGGCTGGGAGGGGAGGGTCCACCCGGCTGCCAGAGCGCATGGGCCCCTGGGCAGGTCGCTGGTGGCCAGTCAAAGCTACCGGAACCCCAGGCCAGAGTAGTCCGGAGAAATGTGAGGAACAGCACCCCTCCCCCCGTCCGCCCATGGACACCTCCAGTGCCTCTGGGGTGCACGTCTCTTCTCTCCCACAGACCCCCGTCTCCCAGCCTGATGTCACAGGTCACCAGAAGAAAGGTAAGGGTGACCCGCCCGTACAGCCGCCCTGGGAGATGCATGCTCCCAACCGGCCCCAGGGGTCAGAGAGGACAGGGCAAGGGGGCTCCCGGTGCAAGGGTGGACAGGGAGCCCCCAGGGGACCGAACCCCTCCCGCTCTGTCCCCAGTGGTGTCGTGGATCGATGTCTACACACGGGCCGCCTGTCAGCCGCGGGAGGTGGTGGTGCCCCTGAGCTTGGAACTCGTGGGCACAGTGGCCAAGCAGCTGGTGCCCAGCTGTGTGACCGTGCAGCGCTGCGGAGGGTGTTGCCCTGACGACGCCCTGGAGTGCGTGCCCGTGGGGCAGCACCACATCCGGATGCAGGTACCAGGGCTGGGTGCCGGCGGGTGGCCGAGCGCCCCCTCGGTTCCCCATCCCTGCCGCTGACCGTGTCCCCGTCTCCCCCGCGCACAGATCCTCATGATCCAGTACCCAAGCAGCGAGCTGGGGGAGATGTCGCTGGTGGAGCACAGCCAGTGCGAATGCAGGTGGCAGCCAGCGGCTCGGCGTTTCGGGGGTCCTGCGGGGGGTGGTCCCCGAGGCTTGCTCTCCTCATGCTCCCCGTCCTGGTCTCTGCCTTATCTTTCAGACCCAAGAAGAAAGAACATTCTGCCAAGGGGGACAGGTGAGGCCTGGCGCTCGTGGGGCTGGGGGACGGAGACAGTGGTGTCCCCCTCTCTCCCTTCTTCCTTGGCTTCTTCTGTCCCCTTTTCCTCTCTGCCGGAGCCGGGATGTGTGGGTGCCCGAGTGCCCCGCAGCTCTGGGGAAGGCTGGTCCTTCCCACCCCAGACATTGTCGCTTCTCCTCCTAGGGCTGCCACTCCCCACCACCGCCCCCAGCCCCGATCCGTTCCGGGCGGGGACCCGGGCCCCGGAGCACCCTCCCCAGCTGACATCACCCATCCCACCCCAGCCCCAGGCCCCTCTGCCCACGCTGCGCCCAGCGCCGCCAGCGCCCGGACCCCCGGACCTGCCGCTGCCGCTGCCGACGCCGCAGCCTCCTCCGTTGCCAAGGGCGGGGCCTAGAGCTCAACCCAGACACCTGCAGGTGAGCGCCCGGGGCAGCCTCGGGGCATCCTGGAGCCGTGCCAGGGGGAGCCTGCCAGTGGGAGACGGGCCAGGGCAGGGAAAGCTTTGAACGTGTTGAACCAATATTTACCGAGCGTCTGCTGGCGCGGGAGCCGCGTAAACAAGGCTGACCTTCTGCTGCGGGAGTGACCCGACACGGGATGCCAGCGGGGTTGGTGGCCAGGGGCCTCTGACACTTCGCTGAGTGGCAGAGCCACCCTGGAGGCCTTCCCAGAAGCCCCCGGGGCTGATGTCTGTCTGTCCCACCTGCTGGGTGCCCAGAGGCCAGGGGACACAGGGAACTCTCGCCGCCCTTGTCCTGTTCACCGTAGTCCCTACCATCCTCCTCCCCCACGAGTCGTAAGGTGGATCATCTGCCAGACCAGTTGGGGAGACCAAGAGTGCTAGTGGAGAGTGGGGGTCACGGAAGGTAACAGAGGAGTGAGGCCGGGGCCAGAGCGGGGAGGGCGCTTGCCTTGCATGTGGCCCACCTGGATTCAATAAGGTCGCCTGAGCTCGCCAGGAGTAACCCCTGAGCATCGCTGGGTATGGCCGCCCGTCAGTAAACCTAAAGGGTGAGGCTACAGAGGAGTGGGGTGCACAGACCGACTCCCTGACTTCCCTGCACAGGTGCCGGAGGCTGCGAAGGTGACACACTGCTTTCTAGACCCACGGGGCTGCTAGCCTCGCAGGCCACACCCCAGACTGGGACATGAGGACCCCCCCCTGCTGAGAGCGGCCTGGCCCTGGACCCTGGGTCCTGGCCCTCGAACCCTGGAAGCTGCAGCGGGCCCTGGGCCTCTCTGAAGACCTCCCTGCCATCTCCCAAGACCACCAGCCCACTGCATGGAACACTTAGGCAGCGAGAGTGGCCATATACTGCCTTGGGGAATGGGTTTTGTCCCCAGTTCTGACCTCTCTGTGAAAGCATCTCACTGCGCCCTCGCCGAGAGCTTGGGCCCTTGGGGTGAGGACAATGCTGCTGCCCCGATAAAGAGATGGAAGGAGCTGCCTGCCTGTGTCTGTGTGTCCCTGTCCCCGTGTGTCCCTGAACGAACCCCACTGCCTCCTCCCTCCCTGTGCATATGGAGGGAACAGGGTCCTGGACCCTCCCTGGGTCTTAGACAACCCTGTTTCTGACTCTTCACACCCTTGTGATGTCCAGGCACGTACTGGGGGGTCCCTGTCCCCCAAACTCAACCCAGGAGGCACCCACATCTGCTGACTGGCCTTGGCTGGCACTGCTCCGGCCTGTGTGGCACTGTCCACCCGCATGTGCGGAGGCAGATGGTCAATGTCCAGGCCCTCCTTCTGGCAGCTCTGCCACCACTACTCTGTGTACCCCCAACGTTGTGCCCAAGCTTTGCACCTGCTGTTCCCCATTTCCCGATGCCCAGCATCCTAAAAAGGAAGCACTGACGGTGGGTGTGATTGGGCAAACAGGCTCCCTTCTCACCGCCCTACCTCCTAACCTCTGACCCTGCCTGTGCCTTGCCTTCTGCGCACTCTCCAGTGACCATGGGGCTGATGGCAAAGGGATGCACAAATGCTTGGGCAGAAACGTTCGTCTTGCAGGGGTTTGGCTCAGCCACTGCCCAGCATGGCATCCCCGCGGTGGGTGGATCAAGCACATGCTTTGATTGGCCCTCCTGAGGAAGGAAACTCCAGGGCAGGTTAACCCAAAGCCGGGACCCTATTGGACCCTTGCCTGAACTGTTAGAGGGTGCAGAGCTCTGGGCACACGGCTGCAGGGATTGCACCAGCAGAGGCCATCTGACTACGAGCGGTGGCTTTTCCAGTACCGCCCTGGGCACTGCCATCACTGACCGTGTCTGCGCTATCGGGGGTCAGGAGGTGGGGGTCACAGCCGTTCTTTGCTCCTCAGCTGCGGTCATGCCTGGATTCTCTTCCTTTTCCAACTGTGGAAAGAGGCAGAGAAAGGCTGATTTACATGGGGATTTGGCTCCAGGCCACTATCGCCCTGGGTTGAACTGTTCTCCAACTGCTGGTTCAGGACTTTCACTGACCTATGCCTGCTGGGCGCAGGGCCTGAGGAGGATGTCACCTGCAGTTTGACGGGGCCCCTTTGGGAAGGGCACGGGGGCTGCTGGGATGCCAAATCCTAACCGTGTTGGCTCAAGGACACAGGGCTTCAGGGCTTGCCCATAAGAAATTCAAACAAACCTGGCTCCAAAGTGCCGAGTGCACAGCAACGAATGGGTTCAGACGGCCAAAGGGCCAGGGGCCACCAGATGCGGTCTAGGAGGGCCGGAGGGGGTAACAAAATGGCTCCTCCAGACCCCCTCCAGGGAGCCCGCGCCCACCTGACCTTACTTTCACCCCGGCCGGAAGTGCCTCCGGCCCTTTCGGAAATCACTTTCACCTAACCTTACCCGCAACAGCGCCACCGGAAGTGACGCGCATCACGTGGTGGCGGGAGGTGGGGCCAGGGGAGACACCGCCCCCGCGCGCTGTGGCAGCGGGTTTCGTACTGTCCAATGAGGGCGGGCGGCGTGGCCCGGCCTGGTAGCAACGGTGGGGCGCCTGCGCAGAGGCAGCAGACCACTGGGGTTGACTCCGGGGGCGCGGCGAGGAGGTGAGCGGGGGCCACAGCCCGGGCCGAGGGACCCGGGGCGCAAGCGGCCAGGCTGGCCAGACAGGAGCGGGCCGGGCTCCGAGTGTCAGCAAGGGCTAGGTGACGAGGAAATCGGGGGTCGGGGTCGCAGCGGGCTGGGGATGCCGCAGGGGGAGGGTTCTCACGCCGCACGGGGCGGAGCCCCGGGAGCCGGGGCGGGATTCGGAGCGAGGAGGGGCGGGGCTACCGAGCTGGTGCCGGCGGAGGGCGGGGCTCTGGGCCTGGGGGCGGAGCTACCTCGGGCGGAGGGCGGGGCGGAGCCCTCGGAGGCGGGGCTGGAGCCGGAAGGAGGCGGGGCTCCGGGGACTGACGTCGAGGACAGCTGGGCGCTGGAGGCGGGGCTTCAGCCGGGGAGCGGCGTGGCTGCGACTCGGAAAAAGGTGTCTGGCCCGCCCGGGGGCGGGGCCTCAGCGCTGCGGGGGGGACCACGCCTTCCGGAGGGCGGGGCCAAGGAGACCGGCCCGGGGCTAGGCCCAGGTAATGGTCCGGCGCGCCCGCGCGGGGGCGGGCTCCGCGGGGGCGGGGCCTGGGGACGCGGGAGGCCGAGAACGCCCCCGGGAGAGGTGGTGTGGGTGGAGAGGGCCCGGAGGCCGCCCGACTCGGGGCCGGTCTGGGTGCCCCGGCGACCCCCGAGAGCTCAGAGCTGGGGCGGAGCCTCGGGCGGAGGCACAGGACCTGCCTGGGGGGTCTCCTCGGAAGACCGGGGTTCTCCGGAACCACCCAGCGGCGATGTGTGGGTGCCGCGGGCCCGGCCCCCCGCAGCGGCGGCCGAGGTGTGGGTGTGCTGGGCGGGAGGCAACTGGGTGTGGCGTGAGTGGGGCCGCCCGGTCGGGGCTTCTGTGGTGCAGCCAGAGAGGGTGTGGACTCTGCGTAAGGGGACGGGTGGCAACTGAAAAGACGAGCTGGGGCGGGTGGGAAGGTCTGGGGGTGGGCAAAGGGGCGGGGTCCTGGCTGCTGTGGCCTCCCCTGACCCCCTTCCCTCGCCGCTGGGGTCCTCGGGCAAGCCCCCTTCTCACTGAACTGGTAAGTGTGGCTGCGGAGCTTGGGGGAGGGGGTGGCGACCCGGGACCAGGGAATCCCCAAGGGCAGGCAAGGTAGATGGGGGTGGAACGCTAGTACCCACCAGTGTCCTTGCCCTCTCCACCCTCCCCTGCAGAGACATGAGGCTGAGCTGGATCCTAACAGTTCTGTCCGTCTGCCTGAGTGCCCTGGTCACAGCTGCCGGGGCCGAAGGCAAAAGGAAGCTGCAGATCGGGGTCAAGAAACGGGTGGACCACTGCCCCATCAAATCTCGCAAGGGGGACGTGCTGCACATGCACTACACGGTGGGTCTGGGGGCGGCCCTGGTGGGTGGGGCTTCTGGGCCGGAAGCGGTGGGAGCAGGTGCCTCTGCCCACCCGGTAGATGACCTTGGGCGAGTCTTTCCCCTCCCGTCTCCATGCTTCATGGCTGCCGCACCCCCTTGCTTCCCGGGAGCAGTGAGAGTGCTGGGCAGGGGCAGCGGAAGAGGCCAAGCACCCTCCTTCCTCCTCATTCGCCTCCCTGCAACCCACAGGGAAAGCTGGAAGATGGAACGGAGTTTGACAGCAGTCTGCCCAAAAACCAGCCCTTTGTCTTCTCCCTGGGCACAGGCCAGGTCATCAAGGGCTGGGACCAGGGGCTGCTGGGGTGAGTCGGGGAGCCTGGCCGAGGTCCTGGAAGTGAACTGTGGGAGGTGAGCCCCAGGGAGTGGGAGGGCAGGGGAGCAGCCACGTGCTGAGCATGTGTCATCTTGCAGGATGTGTGAGGGGGAGAAGCGGAAGCTGGTGATCCCGTCGGAACTGGGTAAGCAGCCGCGCTGAGGGGACGGGTGCCTTGGGGGCTTGACTGGGGAAGGGGTGGACTGGTCAGCTTCTGCCCTGGGCTTCCCCGCAGCCTTGCCTGGTGCAGGGCCCCTGGCCCCCCTCCACACAGCCCTATCCCAGCTCCGTTTCTCCCTTCTTGCTGAGACGGCAAGGGCCTGTCTGGGCCTGCCAACCCTGCCCCAAGCCACAGCTCATTTTGCTTCTTTGTGTATCTCTAACAGGGTATGGAGAACGGGGAGCTCCCCCAAAGATCCCAGGTAACACACCCTCCCGCCATCCCGCATCTGCTGCCCCCACGCCAGCTTCCCATGTGGCCCCAGTTCTCATCCTGACCCCTGTCCCCACAGGCGGCGCAACCTTGGTGTTCGAGGTGGAGCTGCTGAAAATCGAGCGACGTTCAGAACTCTAGCCCAGATGGGTGGCGGGCAGCGGAGAGGCCACTGGGGACCAGACTGTCTTAAAAAAATTTTTAAAAAGGAAAAAAAAAAACACCAAACAAAACAAAACCCTTCAAAGCTGCAGTGAGCCTGTTTATTTGTGGGCCCAGACAGACTTGGACAGCACAGCTCTGTCCCGGAGTCCCACCCTTCCTGGCTGCAGAAGTCGGGGAGGGGTCCTGATGGCCAGGCCCCCACGGGCATGCCACATAGGGCAATAGCCTGCATAGGGCAACAGCCCGCCGCTGGCAACCCTCCTCCCCCCAGCTCCCCTGCTGCTTGGGCTCCTGGGCTCTCACCATGGCTACCTGGTCGCAGGAAGCCTGCAGTCAGTCACCTGGGGAGCACCTAAGCTGAGAACCCTTGCAAAATACTGTGTCCCCTCAAAGAGACCGCCACTGCCCGGCGCTGCACCCAAGGCATGTCTTCGCTTTATTAAAGGGCCCGCGCTGCAGTCAATATAAAAACACAAAAATCCCATCAGTTTAATAACAATAAAAAACCCCCGAAAGTGGAAAACCGAGGGGGCAGGGAAGAGGCCCCTGGCGCAGGGGCACAGGGAGCCCCGCTCACGGCGCCAGGCCGAGCTGCAGGGCGCCCAGGTATTGCTGTTGCTACGAGGTGGGGAGGGCAGCGATTGTCCAGTGGGAGCCCCCGTTCATCCGGGCCAGGGACCCTCACTTCTTCTGGGGTGTGCTCAGCTTTTGCATGCCCCGGATCTTGTCCAGCAGGCCAGAGATGAAGGCCTATGTGGAGAGAGGGTGTCAAGAAGAAACGTCAGGGCTGAGACTGATGGGGGCGCCCCAGCCCGCCTGCCCCGCGCTCTGGGGTGCTCCCACTCACCTCAGTGGGTTTGTAACAGTCAACCAGCAACTCCTAAGGGGAACCGGGGAGAAGAGTGATGATGAGTTCCTGTGAGCAGGGGCCCAAATGCATCCCATCCCCATCTCCGGGGCCAAGAAGGGGGGCCACCCGGAGTTGGGACCCCACTCCACTCTACCATTAGACCCATTTCCCAGAGGCAGAAGCTGAGGCCCATCACATTCCAGAGCTGAGGAACTGGGATCCAGACAGGTGGCAGTGCCCCAAGCTGGCTCACCCTGACCCTGGCAGCTCGGGCATCGTCACTCTCCATGTCCAGGAGCTCGTCCACATCGATCTCCAGCTCGGGGATCTCTTCTTCCTGGGGTGGGGGAGGACAGGGGACCTGAGCTGGGAAACAGGCTGGGGGGGCGCTCTCCAGCTGAGACACTCCCCCCCTTGGCAATAGGAAGAACCAGCGTTTTGCCCCGCAGACAGTGGCAGCTGCTGAGGAAAAAAACACAGCAGGCCAGTGCCAAGGCAAACTGCCTGGTGGGGGGGGGGCTTCCTGTCTGCCAGTGGGCACCCCGGGTGCCAGACAGGGCCAGACAGCCCAGACTGGGAACCCTGCAGATGTCTCCCCAATTCTGGGCGCCCCCCCCCCTCCAGCCAGGGCACAGGTGGGACCAGCTGTCCCCGCTCCTCACAGTCCCCTTCCCCTCCCCCAAACACCTGTCACGGCTTCCCCGGAGCGAGGAGGAAGTAAGGGGTGAGGGGTCAGCGGGATGGACCCAGGCCGGGGAGAGGGGGAACAAAGAACCCATGCTTTGGAGAGGGTGGGGGTGCCCGCCACCCCTCCCCCCGAGGAAGCCACGACCCAGTGGAGACGCAGCTGCATTCCAGGGCTGGGCTAGGGGAGGCAGCCCAGGGCAAACCCACTCGCGCCACCCTGCCTCCCGGGGGCCTGAGTCACCCGTTGAGCAAGGCGGGAGTCACTGGGTGGAGAACCGGAGCCCGGCCGGCCCGGCCCGCGCCCAGCCGGACCCCCACGAACCCGCGCCGACCCGGTCCGGTGCCGCCCCCCCGCCCCCCGCCGGCCAGGCTGGCGCCCCGGCACCGCTGGGACACACGTCCGTGCCCGGGCCACCCCCGAGGCTCCCGCAGCGCCCCGAGCGAGTCCAGGGGAGGGGCCGGCGGCGGCGGCGGCGCGGCCGGGACCCGGGTCCGAGGCGAAAGCGCAGCCCGGGGGCGTGGAGCGCGAGCGGCCGGGCCGCGGGTGACAGGCGGGCGCCGAGTTAGGGACGCACCTGGCAGTCGTAGAGGCAGGTGAGCTGCTCCAGGATCCACTCCTCCAGGTTGAGGCGTTTCCGGAGCTCCTTGCGGTCGTACTTGACCGTGACCTTCCCTTGGCGCCTCACGGGGCCCTCGTCGTCCGCGCCCCCCGGGCCCTCGCCCGCGGCCCCCGGGGGGCTCTGGAAGTAGACGCGGGGCCCGGGCCCGCCGCCGCCCGGCCCGGGGGCCGGAGCCGCCACCGCCGCGCCCCCAGCGGGGCCGCTGTCCGCCATGGCGGCCGCCGGGGCCACGTGCACGCGTTGGGCCCCTCCCTGCGCCGCCGCCTCCGGGACGCCCGCCGGCTGGCTCCGGGCCGCCGGCTCGGGGTTAAGTCGCCCGGTCGGCTCCGCGCGGCTCTGCGGCGAGGGCGGCGGCGGGGGCGCCCGGGGGCAGCTGCAGCATGCGGAGCCCCCGGGCCTGGCCTGGCCGCGCCCCGCCCCCTCCCCACCGATCCGCCCGCCCTTTGTCCCCCGCGGCCGCCGCCCGAGCCGCCGCCGCCGCCGCCGCCGCCGCCGGAGCCGCTTTCTCTGTCTCGCCGTGGCCCCGCCCCCGGCCACACCCCCTTAAAGGGCCAGTGCCCGGCCCGCGGGGTCCGGGCCCCACGCCCCGCTCCACCTCGGCCGCCCCTGCAGCACCCGGGCGACCGGAGCGCCCGGCTCCGGGCCCTGCGCCCCCGCCGACGTCCTGCCGTTCCGCGCTCGCGGCAGCAGGAGCGGTCGGGGCCGCCTGCAGACGGCGGGGCGCGGGCGCGCTGTGCAGGGCGGAGGGCCGCGGAGCACGCCCGGGAACCCCGACCCCGGGCTCCCGCGGCCGCCGATCGGTGGGCGCACACGGGTCCTCCAGCCAGACACGTGGCCCCGGGCCGGGAGTGGGGCAGAGGGAGGCGGGCGGGAAGCTGCCCGGGGCTCCGGACGTCGTGCTGGGCAGCTCTCGCGCCCCCCCCTCCCCGCCCCCGTGGGGGAGGCCGGAGCCCGGGGGGAGCCGAGCCGGCCCCGAGGGCCAGCGGACCCCCGGCGGCCGCCGCCCACCGGCCAAGATGGCGACGGGGCGCGGCATCCTGGGACTCGTAGTTCGCGGGGTGCGGCCCCGCGTGGCCACCCCTGCCCGGCTGCACCCGCGCGCGCCTTTCACACTCCGCGCGCACCCGGAGGAAACTGAGGCGGAGAGCGCGGGGGTGGGGGTGGGGGCTGCGGAGCCCGTGCCGGGACTCAGGGACCGCGTCTCTCCTTCGGGGTCCATGCCGGCGGGTCCGCTGGTCCCCCGCGGGGCGCCCGGGGTCCGGCCCACCTCTCCCAAGCCGGACTGTGCACGGCAGACCCGCGCCGCGCGCGGCTCTCTGTGTCTTCAAAGAGTCTCTCATTCATTTTTTTTGCCCTCTCTGGCTCCGTCCTCCAGACCGTGAGTTTCTGCAGGGCAGAGACGTTCGGCGGCGGGGCCGGGGAGAGGGCGCTGCCGCCAGGCTTGCTGGCACCCACGTGCTCTGCGCGCACCCCTGCACCAGGGTCAGACGCGGGCAGTCGCTGGCCAAGGCTGAGGAAAGAATGAATGGCTAGTTCCCTGCCTCCATTTCCTCCCGAAGATTGTGGCGAGGATGAAAGGGGAAATGAGCGCAGCGTTCCCCGCGCACTCCGAAGGTTAATGAAGTCCCACGGCTGGGCTGGACGGAGCCCAGGCCGGGACTGGGGGGGCGTGGGTGGGGCGCTGGAATCCTGGACAGCCTCTTCAAGTCCACCCCTTCCCCTGGTTCCAGCAGCCCCGCTGGGACGCCTCCACCGGCAGCAAGCTCACCCCTGCCCTCCCCACGCCACATTCCTGCCGAGCCTCACAGACTGACTGACACTCTGACTCTGCCCGAGGTGGGGTTCGGGAGCAGGTGCAGGGGAACCCAGGAGAGCTTACCGGAAGCAGTGGCTGGACCTGGACGCTGTGTGGGAAGCCAGTCGGACTCGTGGCGGGAGCCCCAGGGGCTTTGTGCGAGCCTTTGTCCCCAGCATGTCTTCCTCTGGGCTTTTCTTCCTGAATCTGCCTAGTGCTCTGCCTTCCCAACATCCCCCAAAGCTGACCCTTGATCTCTGAAATCAGGCAGGACCCTCCCTGGCCTTGGGAGCCCCATCTAGGGCGTGGCTTCTGGCCCTGGGCCCAGCCTGATAAGAGATGCTATTTATTCAAGTCCAAATTCTCCACCGCACCCCACTCACCCCAGAAGGGTGGTCTGTTCTTTTTTTTGGTGGGGAGGGTACAACTGGCGATGCTCAGGGGTTCCTCCTGGCTCTGCACTCAGGAATTACTCCTGGTGGTGCTCGGAGGACCCTATGGGATGCTGGGGATCAGATCCTGGTTGGCCTCATGCAAGGCAAGCACCCTCCCCACTGTACTTGCTATCTCTTGGGCCCTTTATTCCCCCTTTTTCTTTGCAGTGTTGGGAACCAAACTCACATATCCTGCAAGCCCTTTACCATGGCACCACTTTCTGGCCCAGCGGCTCTTTCTGAACCCGAGCCTGGAGTGGTTCAGGTTGGGGTGCTCCTAGTTAAGAGGTGGGCATGGAGGGTCAGAGAGAGATGATAGCACAGCGTGTAGGGCGCCTGCGTGCACGCAGCCAGCTTGGGTTTGAACCCCTCCCGGAGTGAATGATCTCTGAGCACACAGCCCAGGAGTCAGCCCTGAGCACTAGCAGATGTGACCCAACACCTGCCACCCCAAAATAGATGTAGCGGGGAGAGACCTCAGCTACAGTGATCTGGGGACAGCCACCACTCAGCGCCCCAACTGCCATGAAGTGACCCTGCGCTGTGACCGCACTGGTGTGAAGACTGGTCAGGTCTGAATTTCAGGGTTTCCCCGGTGGTCCTCGGGACGAGATAGGGAGGAGCAGGGCAGCTCATCCTGACCTTCTCCTCCACCTCCTGTGCCTTCCCTGGGGCACTCCCAGATTCCTGGGGCAACTCCCCTGCCTGCCCAGTCCTGGCCACCCTCCTCGAGAAGCATCTACGCAGAGGACCACCCCACCTGCAGAGGCTGGGCCGCCCTGCGCAGAACCTTGAGGGGAACCAAGAGAATCCAGGGCGCGTCCTGCAGGAGAGAAGGGTCCCCACTCCCGACAAGCCCAGGTCCCCGTCTGTGGTGCAACCCAGCCTCTGGCGGAGCCCCAGGTGCTTTGTCCAGAGACTGGAGGCTGTCAGGAAAGAAACAAGGGAACACAAGGATATTTCCTAGGAAAAGTACCTGCTGCCTGGAGCTTCCGCCCATAGGCTGTTTGCCATGAGCTCCTGGGAGGGGAGGGAGGGGGCATGCACTGAGAGCTCAGGGCATTGGAACCCCACTCCTGCCCCAACCCCCCTGGGACAGAGGAGCCACACCCCTGGTGTTCCTCCTCCTTCCCATCTCCGGCTGAGGTCTCTGCTCCTGGGGTCCCAGCCCCCCCACTCGAAGTTCATCTGAGGCTGCTTTCAGGCCGGGGAGGGTCCCGTGGGCCAGGCACGCCCACTCCTTTAATCGACGGCAGAGGCCGGATAGGCGGCCTGCTGGTGAACACGCTGACCATTCCTGCCGTGTCCAGGCCGGAAAGAGCCTGTTTAATGGAGGCTGCTGGCCTTGGGAAGCCCGGGTGTGGGAGCGAAGGGGTGCTGGCTCAGGGCTCTTCTGCTTTCCCGAGGCTCCAAGGGGTCTCAGACCCCTGTCGCCCTAACTCTGCCTGTCTTGCACCCCCAGATCACTACTGGCCCTTGGCCTGTGAACCTCTTCCCCCACATCCGCCACCAGCCAGGACTCCGGCCTTGCACCCACTTATTTCCTCCCTGACTACTTTTAGCTTCAGAGTTTGGCCGCAAACTGGAACCTGGGCTTGTGGGAGCAAGAGCCCTTCTCCCCCCGCAAGCCCCTGACCCACACCACCTGGGGTCCTGTGAGGGATCAGTTGGCCAGGTGAGAGGGGGAGCCCCATCCCGTGCCCCCTTCATTGGGTCCTCAAGGTCAAGGAGGAGAGAGAGGCAGGACGGGAGGCAGCAGCCTTCAAGGACTTGCACGCCTCCCCAAAAGCTGTGTGACCTTGGGCAAGTCCTGGACCTCTCTGGGCTTCCTGTGGAGATAAATGTACCCCACAGGTTCTGGGTTAAAGGCCAGACCGCTTCCTGAGGTTACAGCTGGTGTCTCGTCTTAGGTGGGGATTATGAGGGTGGCCGGAACCCAGAGGGCTCCCCCTGGGTGTCAGAGTCAGGGGCCAAGGGGCCTTCAGGGTCCCCCTCTCTCTGCCTGACCCCTCCTCCCCCAGAACCAGCTCCATCTTTTCTGGGTTTCTAGGTGACTTGGCTGGCCCCTCTGGATGAGTTCTACTTTAAACCTGCTGCTGCTACTGCCTCTATACTGGGGGGGCTCCCACAGGGGCCCCCAGGCAGGAGCCCCCCCCAGTCAAGCCCTGCGGGGGAGGGGCTGCAGCCCCCACCCATGGCAGTGCCCATGCGCCTTCCGCCGTCGCCGCCCCCCTCCCCGGGCTGCAAGGAACATTTCAGGGCAGGCACCTGCCGAAGCCCTGGCATTGCCGAGCCCCTCGAAACTGCCCCTTGTCTCCGACGCCCTCGGGGTTTCTGACGCCCCTGGACGAAGGACCAACTACCCCTTCGCAGTCTGGAACCTTTCAGGGCCAGGCTCGGGATTGGGCCACGGGGGTCGGCGGCACAGGGCACAGGGGGAGGCGTTCTTCCAGGGCGGCCTCTCGGGGGCCCTGGGTGCACGGGTCCTGCAAAGCGGCGGCCGGCGCCAGGCGTCCCCGGGCACAGGGGCGGGGGCGGGGCGCCCGTCGGCGGGAGGCCCATTAGCTGGCTAAGTGCTCCCAGGGAGGGGGGAGACGCGCCGCTGCGGGAGGGGGGGAGGACGGGCGATGAGGGGGCTGGGAGTGGCGTTTCCTGCACTCAGCTAAGTGCTGCGGAGACGGTGTGGGGGGGTGCTGGGCTCGGCGACCCGCCGTGCCCCCCCTTTGGACCTCCGGGGCACCCCGCACCCCCGCCTCTGCGCAACTTTGGCGAGCTGAGCCGGGCCCGTCCGTTTTCCGGGCGCGCCCTCAACGCCGCGTCCCCCGCCCCCGCGCGCTCCCCGAGCGCTCAGCGCCCGCTCCGCATCCCGAGCGCGCGCGGGGCAGCGCCAGCCCCTGCCCCTGCCCAGGGCCCGGCCGCCGCCGCGCGATGCCCGCCGCGGGCTGCCACCCCCGCCCCGGCCGCCAGGGGGCGCCGGCGCGACTCGGGCGGGGGTGGGGGGGCGGCCCCGCGCCCCGCCCCCGCCCTCGCCCCGCCCCGCCCCGCCGGGCCCCGGGTCGGTCCCGGACAGTCTGGCGGGCGGGCGCTGACGCCGCGGGGCCGGAGCGGCGGCGCGGGAGCTCGCGGACGCAGCAGCGGCGCCGGCGGTCCCCGTCGCGGCTCCGTGGGTCTCCGAGCCGCCCCCGGCCCGGCCATGGCGGGCGCCAGGCCCGGCGTCCACGCGCTGCAGCTGGAGCCGCCCACCGTGGTGGACACCCTGCGGCGCGGGAGTAAGTTCATCAAGTGGGACGAGGTGAGTGCCGGGGTCCCCCCGCGCCCCCCGGCCCCGGCCCCGGCCCCGGCCCCGGCCCCAGCCCGCGGGCGGGACGCCGGGCACCGCGCGCTGCTGCGTGCGTGCGGGGCGCCTCTCCCCAGCGCCGGCCACTCGGGTCCCCGCACGTCCCGGCCCCGGGGAGACCCCGTGTCCCCACCCCGCCCCGCCAGCCCCGCGGCCACGGATCCTGGAAGTTCTCTAGTTTTTCGTTTTGCCTGGGACACTCCGAGCCCCGGTCAACCCCGGACCCCCCGTTTTGACTCGCTCTGTCCACTCCTTCCTGGTCTCTCCCTGCTTTCCCCGGGCCTGGTCCCCCGAGTCCCGCCGGGCGGGCACTGAGGCTCAGCGGCCACGCGCGCGCGGGGGCACCCCGTTCCGGGGGGGAGTGCCCTCCCGGGACCCAGCCTGCCCCGCGCCCCGCGCCCCGCACCCCAACATTCCTCCCCATTCATCACTTTCCCACCCTGTTCTGGCCGCCTCTGCCCCGCCGCCGGCCTGCCCAGGTGGACGCACCAAGTCACCCCCAGCGGAGACTTTGGCTTTCCACCCCCCCCCCAACTTTCTCCACCCTTGGGAAACTTTACTCTCGACTACTCCTTAGCGCTGGGACTTTGAACCCCAATAAATCCGGGCCCCCCTATCTACCTGCCGTGCCCAAGTGCCTCCCAGGTGCCCGGGGCCCCACGCCCCACTCCCGACCGTGCGGGGCCCCCCTTCTCTGCCCCCTGGCCCGTCTTTCCTCTCGGCCTCCCAGGGCCTGTCCGAGCTTCCCCGGCGCTGCTTCCCGGTCAGGCCCCGGCCTGGAAGCACCCGCTCCTTTCCGGCTGGGTGGGGCGGGGCGGGGGCGGGGGAGGGGCGGGGGCGGGGCTGGAGGCAGCAGGTGTGCCACCGAGGGCCCCCCTCCTGCCCCCCTACCCCCTGGGGTCCGGAGGGGCGCCGGGCTGCCCCCTCCGGGCAGGCCGGCCTGAAGGGAAAAGTTTCTCCTTTTCCTTCCAGTGTGATAAACCCAAATAAGGAAGTGGGAGCAGGGAGAGGGACGGGGTGCCTGACCAGAACTGGGGCCGCAGAGCCTGGATCCGGCCTGTCCCCAGGCCAGGACCCCTGGAACCTGTGATGGGGCCAGGCGAGGGGAGCCCTGGGGGCAGCACCTACAAAACTGCCTCTGAGCCCCAAGCATCCTCCAAGGCGCTCCCCCCCCCCTCCTGCCTGTGGGTGGTGTGCACAGTCCCCATTCCCCCCCCCAGGGGAGCTGAATCTAGAGGCCCCAGCTCGGGGTTTGGGGGGTGCTGGGTGCACCTCCAGCCCACTCTCCCACCACCTCAGGCGGGCCGAACCCAGGGCCCTTGGAAGGGCAGGGGAGAAGATATGCCAGGGACAGTGTTGACCCCAGATAGCAGTGGCAGTTGAGAGAGCTGCCAAGGTCCTGGGGCCAAGTGTGCCCCCCCCCTCCAGGGAGGACCCCGCCTGGCTGGCCGCTGCTCCCGCGTTGCTGGGGTGTCCTGGGAGCTTGCCAGGCCAAGCCCTTCTTGGAAAATGGGGCAGCGTGCCTTCGGCGCAGAGCTGGGGGGTGGGGGTAGCCTCACTGACCGCCCTGGGGCGGCATGGGCCCTGGAGGCACTCCGTCTGTGTTCTTGGGGAGGGTGGGCCATGAGGCTGGGGTACAGCGAGATTCAGGATGAGGGACTTGGACCAGTTGTCAGTTGCACCTGGACGCCGAGGGACTTGGGGAGGCCCAGGGGGTCGCACTGGGAAGCCCTTGCTTTGCTTTTCCGTTTGTTTGGGGGCCACACCCATATCACTTCGGGTCCACTCTCAGCTCAGTGCTCAGGGGTCACTCCCTGCGTCCAGTTTGCTCTCTGGCCCAGGAAAGCTGCTCTCTTCCCATAAGCCTCCCCTGGGGCCGGGGGGGCTCTCAGACCTTCTGGGGTAACCGAGCCCCAGCGCTGGGGCCTGGGAGGCCTCCCCAAGGAGGTGGGTCAGATTGCTGGTGTCAGGAAGAGTGTGAAGGGCCGCGATGGGGGGGCTGGAGGAGGAAAGGGGAGTCGCAGCCCCATGGTCTGTCCTGCTGGAACCCTGGGACTCCAGCGGCAGGAGGGGGGCTACGTTGGGGTGCAGGGCCAGTGTCTCTAGGGACCTTGCTGGGCCTCAGCCCTCACACCTGGCCATTCCCAGGAGGCCTCCAGTCGGAACCTGGTGACCCTTCGTGTGGACAGCAATGGCTTCTTCCTGTACTGGACAGGGCCCAACATGGTAAGGGCCATGGCTGGTGCCCAACACCCCCAGACTCCTTCCCCTGCCCGTGGGGTGGGGCCTGGCCGCTGACCGACCTCCCCTCCCCGAGGCTCCCCAGACAGGAATGCTAAGGGTGGGTCTGCGGCTAAGGGTAGGGGCTCTGATTGCCGCGGGCACCTGGTCTCCCCAGGAGGTGGACACGCTGGACATCAGCTCCATCAGGGACACGCGCACAGGACGCTACGCCCGCCTGCCCAAGGTGAGTGAAAGGACGGGGGTGCGGTGAGGAGACGGGGGGAGGGGTGGAGGGCGGGAGGTGCCTGGGGACGCCCACCCTACCCTGCGCTCTGTCTGTTCAGGACCCCAAGATTCGGGAGGTGCTGGGCTTTGGGGGCCCTGACGCCCGGCTCGAGGAGAAGCTGATGACCGTGGTGGCCGGGCCTGACCCGGTGAACACCACGTTCCTGAACTTCATGGCCGTGCAGGAAGACACCGCCAAGGTGGGCCGAGAGTTAGGTGTGGGGGTGTGTTGGGGGGGCATTCCGAGGCTGCCCTGCCCGCCTCAGCCCCGGGGTCAGCCCTAGACCTGAGCAGAAGAAGGGAATGTGGGGTGTGCTGGGACATCCCAGCCCCCCCTAACCCCCTTGCCCCGTTGCCCCCTCACCATCCCCCCAACTCGGACCCCACAGGTCTGGACTGAGGAGCTCTTCAAGCTGGCGATGAACATCCTGGCCCAGAACGCCTCCCGGAACACCTTCCTGCGCAAGGCGTAAGGCCCGGGCCCAGGATCGGGTCGGGTTGGGAACGGGTGGGGGTGGGGAGGGGCGACCCGGGAACCTGTTCCGGGGTATGACCCCACCCCTGTCTCCCCAGATACACAAAGTTGAAGCTGCAAGTGAACCAGGACGGGCGGATTCCGGTCAAGAAGTGTGCACCCCCACCCCACCCCACCCCTGCCATAGGCCCAGGCCCCTCACCTGCCTCCTGCTCCATCCCTGCCAGGGGCCCAGGCCCCGCACCCACCCCCCACCCTGCCAGGGGCCTCGGGCCCTCACCCCTCTCCTATCCTGCAGCATTCTGAAGATGTTCTCAGCAGACAAGAAGCGTGTGGAGACGGCGCTGGAGTCCTGTGGCCTCAAATTCAACCGGGTGCGTGTGTGGGCTTGGCACGGGGGGTTTGGGGTAGGGGGGCGAGGATGTGGGCCAGCCCTGGGCGCTCACCCGGCCCTCCCCGGTCCCCCAGAGCGAGTCCATTCGGCCAGACGAGTTTTCCCTGGAGATCTTCGAGCGGTTCCTGAACAAGCTGTGCCTGAGGCCAGACATAGACAAGATCCTGTTGGAGATGTAAGAGCACAGCTGGGCCGGGGGGCGTTGTGGCGGGCTGCGGCTGAGATGGGGACCTGGGTCTGGAATCACCAGGCGACCAGCCGAGGTCACCTCCCCCTCGGGCCCTGTCAGCTCTGCTGGAGCTGGACGCCACCCTCCCCGCCCCCAGGGCTCCCGCCTGACTCGACTCCCCGTCCCTCCGCAGAGGGGCCAAGGGCAAGCCGTACCTGACGCTGGAGCAGCTGATGGATTTCATCAACCAGAAGCAGCGGGACCCGAGGCTCAACGAGGTGCTGTACCCGCCGCTGCGGCCCTCGCAGGCCCGGCTGCTCATCGAGAAGTACGAGCCCAACCAGCAGTTCCTGGAGCGGGGTGAGTGCCGGCGAGGGGTGGGGTGGGCGGCAGGGCTGGGGGGCGGGGACTCGCACCAGACTGCTGACCCCACTGACCCCCCCCAGACCAGATGTCCATGGAGGGCTTCAGCCGCTACCTGGCAGGGGAGGAGAACGGCATCCTGCCCCTGGAGGCGCTGGACCTGAGCGCCGACATGACCCAGCCGCTGAGCGCCTACTTCATCAACTCCTCGCACAACACCTACCTCACGGGTGAGTGGGGGGCGCCAGCACAGGGGACCCTCTAGAGTGTCTTTTTTCTTTTTTGTGTCTTTTGTGTCACGCCCAGCGGTGCTCGGGTATCACGCCTAGCAGGGCTCAGGGAACCGTCAGGGATGCAGAAATGGAGCCCGGGTCAGCTGGTGCAGGCAGACTTCCTCCCTGCCGTACCAGCCTCCGGCCCTGGGGTCCCTTCTTTGACCGGGCTTTGGTGCCCTTCCGCAGGGGGCGGGCCGAGGGGGCAAAAGCGTTTTTGCTTTGCCTGTGGCAGCCCCAGGTGAAGTCCCCAGTCCCCATCATCGTCCTGAGCCCTGTGCTGGGGGCAGCCCCCAGGACCGCTGGGTGTGACCCCACAAGAGAAACGTACAGAAAGGAAGGAGTGGCCGAGGCTGGGACGGGGCGGGGGAGAGTGAGGCCCTGTGACCAGGGTCACCTTGGGGAGGAATGTGGGGGTGGGGCCAGTGCCCCCCTGCCCTGCCCAGGGGGAGTTTGGGAGGAGCAGGCTGGCCTGTTTCCAGCGAGATGGGCTGGGAGGTGGGGGTCCCTGGGGCCCAGGCCAGAGGGGATGGGGTTGATGCAGGCCGGACTGGACCAGCCCAGGGTGTGTGTGTATGGGGGGTGGTGTGCTTCGACTCCGCCCTGGGACTCCCTGGCGGTGCTGGCTCACAGTGGGTTCATTGCCAAGACTGGGAGGTTCGGGCTGGGCTGGGGCCGGAGGAGCCAGCCAGCAGGCGGCCTGGGTGACTGAGCCTCGCCCGCAGCGGGGCAGCTGACCGGGACGTCGTCGGTGGAGATGTACCGGCAGGCGCTGCTGTGGGGCTGCCGCTGCGTAGAGCTGGACGTGTGGAAGGGGCGGCCGCCCGAGGACGAGCCCTTCATCACCCACGGCTTCACCATGACCACCGAGGTGCCCCTGCGGGACGTGCTGGAGGCCATCGCCGAGACGGCTTTCAAGACCTCGCCCTACCCCGTCATCCTGTCCTTCGAGAACCACGTGGACTCGTGAGTGTGCCCCCTCCCCCCCTGCAGTCCCTCACCTGGGGTGACCCCCGCCCCCATGACCTCTGACCTCTGGCTCGGACCCCGCAGGGCCAAGCAGCAGGCTAAGATGGCCGAGTACTGCCGCTCCATCTTCGGGGACGCCCTGCTCATCGACCCGCTGGACAAGTACCCGGTATGGGGCCGCGGAGCCAGGGGTGGGGTGGGGGGCACGGGGTGAGGGCGCCCTCGCAGGCTCTGACCTGCCTGCGCCCACCAGCTGGCCCCGGGCGTGCCCCTGCCCAGCCCCCAGGACCTGATGGGCCGCATCCTGGTGAAGAACAAGAAACGGCACCAGCCCAGCAGCGGCGTCCCCGGAAGCTCCGTGCGCAAACGGCCGCTGGAACAGAGCAACTCGGCCCTGAGCGAGAGCTCCGCCGCCACCGAGCCCTCCTCGCCCCAGCTCGGTATGCCTGCCCCTCCTGCCCAGCCAGCGGGGGACCCCTGACCTCTGACCCTTGACACCGGTGCCCCTTGCCGAGAGCCACCCTAGTTGGAATTTCCTCTGTCCGGCTCCTGAGCCCTCGACCTTGACCTCCCCCCTCGCGGAGCCCCTCCCCGCAGCCGGGTCAGCATCTGACCTCTGACCTCAGGGGACCACTGCCGAGTGGGGCCTGAGCCTTAGACCTCTGACCCCTGCTTTGAGTTTCCCAGAGTCATCCAACTGGAAATGGTTTTCACTAAGCCTTGATCTCCTCGCTTTGTTAGTACCCCCCAATCTGACCCCTGACCCGGAACCCCACGTTTGTCCCCACTGTCATTGTGCTGTGGCACCACCTCCCCGTTCTTGTGGCTTATGCCCTGAGACTCTCTGATTCCCTTCCTGGCAGAACTTTGCACCCTGACTCTTTAAAAATGTTTTACTTTGGCTTTTTGGGTCACGCCCGTGGATGCTCAGGGGTTTCTCCTGGCACTGCACTCAGGAATTACTCCTCGTGGTGCTTGGGGGACCCTACAGGATGCTGGAGATTGAACCTGGGTCGGCTGCAACCAGGGCAAACACCCTCCCCGCTGTACTATCGCTTTGGCCCCTGCACCCTCACTCTTGACCTATGACCCCAACGGCCAATGACTTAAGATGTTTAGCTGTGACCTCTCACCTCAACCTTCACCATACTGACCTAAGGGTACCCCTCAACCTCCTCCCTACACACACACACACACACACACACACACACACACACACACACACTCCACCTTCACTGGCCCCTGCCCGAGTGCCATGACCCCTGACCCCTGACTCCGCGGCTGTCTGCTCCAGGGTCTCCCAGCTCCGACAGCTGCACAGGCCTGAGCAACGGCGAGGAGGCCGCCCTGGAGAAGCCCAGCCTGGAGCTGCGGAAGTCTCTGGGCGAGGACGGGCCAGCGCCGGGCCCCGAAGCTCCCGGACCCAATGACCGGGAGGATGAGGAGGAAGATGAGGAAGAGGACGAGCAGACGGACCTCAAAAAGCCAACCACAGATGAGGTCAGCCCCGGGGCTGGGAGTCGGGGGGCCTTTCCCTGTGTTTGTCTGCTGCCTGAGGGACCCCCGAGACACACAGTGGGCAGGGGGCGGTCGGAGAGGAGTTAGACTTGAGGAGTGGGACCCTGGGGTCCGGGCAGAGGGGTGCGCATGGGGACCCTGAGGTGCACAGGTTGGGAGGTCAGAGCCAGTGGCCAAGGCAGCACCCTGGGACCCCCGGGAGAAAGCGGGGCTCCGTGCGGGAATTGGGGTCCTCCACAGGCAGAGGCTGACCTGGGGGTCCGGTGCGGCATATCAGCATTGGGGGTCGGGGGTCCAGGAGACATAGGGGTCTCGGGGAAAAGATGGGGACAGATGGGCTGGGGCAGGAAGAGGGTCAGCGCGGGGTGCGGTGCGGGACACTGCTGACTTCTCGGGGGCCACAGGGCACCGCCAGCAGCGAGGTCAATGCCACAGAAGAGATGTCCACGCTGGTCAACTACGTCGAGCCCGTCAAGTTCAAGTCCTTCGAGGCTGCTCGGAGTGAGTGGGCTGCTGGGGGCCGGGGTGGGGGAGGGGAAGGGACAGCAGCGGCCCCGCCTGGCCTCACACGCTCCTGGGTCCCCTCCAGAGAGGAACAAGTGCTTCGAGATGTCGTCCTTCGTGGAGACCAAGGCCATGGAGCAGCTGACCAAGAGCCCCATGGAGTTTGTGGAGTATCCTTCCCGGGTGCAGCCGCGGGGTGCTCAGGGCGGCACCCCACCATCCCCACTGCCAGGGCGCCCCACTGTCCCCCCTGCCCATGGCCGGTCTGGGGAGTAGCCCTTCCGGGCGCCCCGCTGATCCTCACCGCCAGCCAGCCCCTGGGCTGGGTCGGGTGGCCTGGGCTTCAGGAGAGGGGTGACGGGTGTCAAACTGCCCCGCGTGGCCCTGACCTCTGGCTCAGATACAACAAGCAGCAGCTGAGCCGCATCTACCCCAAGGGCACCCGCGTGGACTCCTCCAACTACATGCCGCAGCTCTTCTGGAACGTGGGCTGCCAGCTGGTGGCACTCAACTTCCAGACTCTGGGTGAGCCCCCGTGACCCCTGCCTGGGCCCCCACTGCCGCCACACCCGGACCTGCTGGGCCCTGCCTTGGCTGATCCAACTCCTTCCCCTCCTGGTTCTTTCGGGTTTTTTTTATTTTCTTTGGCTTTTTGGGTCACACCCAGCCGATGCTCAGGGGTTACTCCTGGCTCTGCACTCAGAAATCACTCCTGGTGGTGCTCAGGGGACCATATGGGATGCTGGGAATCGAACCTGGGTCGGCCACATGCAAGGCAAACGCCCTACCCGCTGTGCCATCACTCCAGCCCCTGGTTTTGGTGTTGGAGCCACACCTGGCGATGCTCAGGGCTCACTCCTGGCTCTGTGCTCAGGGGAACATCTGGGGTGCCCGGGATTGAACCCGGGTCAGCCGTGTGCAAGGCAAGTGCCCTACCCGCTGTACTATCACTCCAGGACACCCCCTTGTTTGCCCGAATCCAGACTCCTGGTGCCATCAGAACGCCTGCACCTGGGGCTCCCTCTGCCCTGTCCTCCCCCATGGAATCTTGCCCTGTGTCGCCACCAGATGTGCCAATGCAGCTCAACGCCGGCGTGTTCGAGTACAACGGGCGCAGCGGCTACCTGCTGAAGCCCGAGTTCATGCGGCGGCCCGACAAGTCCTTCGACCCCTTCACTGAGGTCATCGTGGATGGCATCGTGGCCAATGCCTTGCGGGTCAAGGTGGACACAGGGAGGGCCTGGGGCCAGGCTTTGGGGAGGGGGGCAGCCTGAGCGCCGACTCACTTCCTGCCATCCACAGGTGATTTCGGGGCAGTTCCTGTCCGACCGCAAGGTGGGCATCTACGTGGAGGTGGACATGTTCGGGCTCCCCGTGGACACCCGGCGCAAGTACCGTACCCGGACCTCCCAGGGCAACTCCTTCAACCCTGTGTGGGACGAGGAGCCCTTCGACTTCCCCAAGGTGAGCCCGAGCCTCGCGCGCTCCTGGGAGGTGGGTGCTGGGGCTCCCCAGAACGGCAGGTGTCGGCCAGGCATCACTTTGGGATGAGAAGAGAGGAGGGGCTGGAACAATAGCACATCGGGTAGGGCGTTTGCCTTGCACGTGGCTGACCTGGGTTCGATTCCCAGCATCCCATAGAGTCGCCCGAGTACTACCAGGAGTAATTCCTGAGTGCAGAGCCAGGAGGAACCCCTGAGCTGAGCATCGCTGGGTGTGACCCAAAAAGCAAAAAAAAAAAAAAAAAAAAGAGAGGAAAGGGGCAGCTGCAGGGGTCCCAGGGCCCCCAGGGGTGCTCGCTCTCTGGCTCAGACCCCTCTGCTCCCAGCCGGGGTGGAATCTGAGCTCGTTCTGTGCTTTCTTTTTGTTCTTCGCTTTCTTTTCCTTTTTGGACACACCCAAGGATGTTTGGGGGTACCATGCCATGTTGGGCATCAGACCTGGGGCTCCCACACACTCAAGCCCTTTGAATCCTTTCTCCAGCTCCCCCATGCCACAGTTTTAGAGGTGGCGTGAGCTGCGCAGGCCCACAGTCAAGGCCTGGGCCCGCTATTGGCTGAATGACCGCGGGTCAGAGGGTGACCACTGGCATGGCCAGCCCTGTGACTCTGTGCCTGCTGGCCCCCAGGTGGTATTGCCCACGCTGGCCTCACTGCGCATTGCGGCCTTTGAGGAGGGCGGCCGGTTTGTCGGGCACCGCATCCTGCCCGTGTCTGCCATCCGCTCAGGTACCTGGTGGCAGGGAGGGGGCGGTGGCGGTCAGCGCGTGTCCCCCGGCGGGGTCCAACCCTGGGCTGGTGCTCCCGTGCAGGGTACCACTACATCTGCCTGCGGAACGAGGCCAACCAGCCGCTCTGCCTGCCCGCCCTGCTCATCTACACCGAAGCCTCCGACTACATCCCCGACGACCACCAGGGTGAGGGGCACCTCGGCCAGGGGGGGCTATACCGGGGCACCCCATTCGGGGGAAAACTGATGCCTCCCAGGATGAGGTTCTGGGATGCCGGGGAGACTCCACCGCTCGTGGGCGGCTGTGTCTCTGGTATCCAGTGCCCGAGACCCTCACCCTCTGCTGCCCCCCAGACTACGCCGAGGCCTTGATCAACCCCATCAAGCACGTGAGCCTGATGGACCAGAGGGCCACGAAACTGGCCGCCCTCATCGGGGAGTGTGAGGTGAGCCGGGCAGGCAGGGGGCTGGCTGGGTGACCCCTCCCGTTCGCCATGGTGGGTGGCCTCTGGTCCCAAGGACAGCCGGGAGCACCCAGACCCCTTTCTGGATTCTTGGTAATGCCCAACTGAAGCCAAGTGACTGAGTTCCAGCCGCAGTGGCTCGAGGCCGCTCCTGGCTGGGGCCTGGGGTCACGCTTTGCTTAGGAGGTGAAACCACCGTTTTTGCATATGAGAGGCCAGCCCGCAGATCCGGGCTGGAATTCCTCCAGCCTAGCGGGATGGCCACGTGCAGCAGGGGCGGTGAGACAGGTGCAGGCCACGGAGCCCTTTCCAATGTGGAGGTCCGAGCGCTGGGCCCGAGGGGGCTGTGTGGCTTCCATGGCGCAGGGGCGGGGCCCGCCCAGCGCCCGGCTGGGCCGAGTCCCCTGGGACTTGGCAGTGGGAGCTGTTAGCGGGTGAGGCTGGAGCCCACTCTGCGGTCACTTCCTCGGTGATTTAATCAGGAGCTAAGCAACCAGGGAGAGGAGCAGCTGCGGGCAAGGGTGGAGAGAGCCTCGGAACAGGGAGGGAACTTGGGGCCGAGCCAGGCCTTCCCGGAACAATCTGGAAGTTCCTGAGCGCTGGCGATGGGTCCTGGGTCCTGGGTCCTGGGTCCTGGTGATGGGGCTTGGAAAAGCTTTCACAGGGCTCCTCGGTCAGATACTGCAACGCGCCCCAGGCAAGGTGGGCCCCGGGAGGCCACTAAGCAGAGCTGGGGGGGGGGGGCGGCCACAGCTGTGTGCAAAGAGCGTTCGCCTCCCCCCTCCAGGCCCAGGCTGGTCCCGATACCTGCCAGGAGACCCAGTGTCCGCAGCCTGGGGCCCAGCTGGCTGCCAACCCCACACACAGCCCCCTGGAGTCCTCCCCGCGCTGGCCCCCGGGCCCTGCCACCTCCCCCACCAGCCCGTCCCTCAGCAGCCCAGGTAAGAGGGGCCCCGGGGGGCTGGGGGTGCAGGCCAGGTGGTCGGCTCCCCAGCTCAGCCCTGCGCTTGTTCTCCAGGGCAGCGAGATGACCTCATCGCCAGCATCCTCTCAGGTAGGGGCGGGGCCTCGGGGCGGGGCTTCGGCGGGTGGGTGTGGCCCGGTTCGGCCCCGCCCCTCCTGACCACCTGCACCGGCTTGCCCAGAGGTGGCCCCGGTCCCGCTGGATGAGCTCCGTGGCCACAAGAGTCTGGTGAAACTGCGGAGCCGGCAGGAGCGAGACCTGCGGGAGCTGCTGAAGAAGCACCAGCGGAAGGCGGTGGCGCTCACGCGGCGGCTGCTAGATGGCCTGGCCCAGGCCCGGCCCCGGGGGAGCGGACCGTGAGTGCCCACCAGCCCACCGTGTGCACGGGAGGGCGGGAGGGGTGGCAGCGTCCCGAGGGCTCGGTGCCAGGAAGACGGAGGAGGCTTCCGCTTCTCTGCCCCGGGAGAGGTGCCTCTTGTTGACTTTTGATTTGGGGGAACCACACCTGACTCTGCACCTGGGAATTTCTCCTGGCGGTGCTCAGGGGACCATATGGGATGCTGGGATCGAACCCCGGGTGGGCTGCGTGCAAGGCAAACGCACTGCCTGCTGTACTGTCACTCTGGCCAGTCTTGTTGACTTTTTTCTTTTTTTTTTTTTTGCTTTTTGGGTCACGCCTGGTGATGCACAGGGGTTACTCCTGGCTCTGCACTCAGGAATTACTCCTGGCCGGTGCTCAGGGGACCATATGGGATGCTGGATATGGGATGCTGGGAATCGAACCCGGGTCAGCCGTGTGCAAGGCAAACGCCCTCCTGCTGTGCTATCGCTCCAGCCCCCTTGTTGACTTTTTAATATTGTGTTTTGAGGTCACGACTGATAGTACCAGGCTGTTCTTGACTCAGTGCTCAGGAGTCGATCCTGGCCAGTGCTCCAGAGCCTCATGTTGCCCGGGTCAGGGGTCCGAGCTCCCTCACGCAGAGCATGCTTTTCAGCCCACAGAGGCATGGCTCCAGCCCAGATGGTTTTTGTTTCAAATTTAATTTTTGCAGTGATGGGAATCGAACCCAGGGCCGCCTCCATCTGAGGCAGGAGTGTCACAGCTGAGCCCCACCCCGGGGCTGGACTGGTGCCTCCTTTGTTTTTGTTTTGCTTTGGGTGGGGGAGGGCACAGACAGCAATGCTCAGGGCTTACTCTTGGCTCTGCACTCAGGGATCACTCCTCTAGCAGTGCTCAGGGGACCATATGGAATGCCGGGGATCAAACCCAGGTCGGCCGCGTGCAAAACCAGCATCTTACCTGCTGTGCTATCACTCTGGCCCTTGATGCCTCTTTTTCAGTTCCTGTGAGGAGCCCATATATTTTTTTTTTTTGCTTTTTTTGGGGTCACACCCGGCAATACACGGGGGTTACTCCTGGCTCTTCACTCCTTCACTCAGGAATTACTCTTGGCAGTGCTGGGGGACCATATGGGATGCTGGGAATAGAACCCTGGTCAGCCGCGTGCAAGGCAAACGCCCTACCCGCTGTGCTATCACTCCAGCCCCGAGCCCATATTTGAACCCAGAGCAGTTGGCATCATTTGCTCCATCTTTTATTTTTTTTTGGCTTGTTCTGGGGCCACACTCAGCGGTGCTCAGGGCATCACCTCTTGTGGGGCTCAGGGAACCATAACTAGTGCCGGGGATCGAACCCGGGTCGGCTGCGTGCAAGACCAGCGCTGTATCTACTGTACTAGCATGCTCCGTCATTCCTGCCTCATGCTCCATCGTTTCATGGACCGAACGGGCACCTCCGTGGCATAGCGGCCCCCTGCCTCGCCCTGCCCCTGCTCACCGGAGGCTTCTCCCCACAGAGGGGGCGAGTCGGAGAAGGGGGAGGAGGAAGAGATGAAGCGGTACCAGGAGTTCCAGAGGAAACAGGTTCAGAGCCTCCTGGAGCTGCGCGAGGCGCAGGCGGACACGGAGGCCGAGCGGAGGCAGGAGCACCTGAGACAGGTGCGTCCCGTGTCCGTGGGTGCGGGGCTGGCCCGGCGTCAGCCCGGCCTCATGGCTCTGTGTGTGCAGGCGCAGCAGCGGCTCCGGGAGATCGTCTGTGACGCGCACCTCACCCAGCTCAAGAAGCTCAAGGAGACCAACGACAGGTGAAGGCGCGGGCCTCCCGCGGGTGAGGCCGGCAGGTGAAGGCCCGGAGCTCACATGACCTCCGCCTTGACCTCTCTGCCCCCTGACCTCCCCCTGAACCCCCGCAGGGAGAAGAAGGAACTGCAGAAGATTCTGGATAGGAAACGCCACAACAGCATCTCCGAGGCCAAGAATAGGGAGAAGAACAAGAAGGAGGCGTAAGGCCCGGGAGCTATGCCCCCCGCCCGGTGGGGGTGGGAGGGTTGCGGTTGGGGCTGGGAGCCCCCCTGAACCATCCCCTTCCCCCCTTGCAGGGAGTTGACCGAGATCAACCGCCGACACATCACCGAGTCGGTCAACTCCATCCGCAGGGTGAGTGGGGCCCCACGGCCACCCGCATCCCCTCTCCCGCCATCACCCCGCCTCCCACTCTCCCTACCTGGCCTGGGACCGTGTCCCCGAGAGGAGCTTCTAGAGTCTTCCCTCGGGACCGCACCTACCCCTCTCACCCACATCGTCCCCGAAGCCAACCCAAGTGCCGGCGTCTGGGCCTGGCACGCTGGCTGCAGGGCCACCTCAGGGTCACCCTGGCCACGTCTCTCCCGGGGCTGCCCAGGGCCTGACCTCTCCCATAGAGGCCCTGAGCGGAGGCCTTGTCCCCTGCAGCTGGAGGAGGCCCAGAAGCAGCGTCACGAGCGACTCCTGTCCGGCCAGCAGCAAGTGCTCCAGCAGCTAACAGAGGAGGAGCCCAAGGTGGGCCGGCAGGGACCCCTGGCAGAGGGGGCGGTGGGGCGCTGGGGACCAGGAGCCAGCTGGCCGCTGACGCTGTCCCCTCTTGTAGCTGCAGGCCCAGCTGGCCCAGGAGTGCCAGGAGCTTCGGGCACGGCTGCCCCAGGAGATCCGCCGGAGCCTGCTGGGCGAACCGCCCGAGGGGCTGGGGGCCGGGCAGCGGGTGGCCTGTGCCAGCAATGGTCACGCGCCCGGGAGCAGCGGGCACCTGTCCGGCGCCGACTCGGAGAGCCAGGAGGAGAACACGCAGCTCTGAGCCGACTAGCAGGAGGTGGCCAGGGTGGGCTCTGGGGGAGGGCAGGACGCTAAGACACTAATGCTCGGGGGGGATTTTTTTTTTAACTTTCTATTATTAGAAATTTTTTATTTTTTTAAATACACTAATGCCGTTCCTTCCCCCATCCGGGGAGCTGGGTTCATCCCCAGCTCCCCTTCCTGCCCTCAATTCTGGGAGAAGAGCTGAGTCACGGGGCTTTGCCCCGGGGTCAGTCCTCATTGCCCAGGGGTCCCTGCGAGCTCTGGGAAGCAGCGGGGCTCTCTATTCTTTTTTTTTTTTTTTTTTTACGTGAATAAAATAGACATGAGGGACCCTGTGTGCAGCGTGGTTTGGGTGGGGCAGGGCTCGGGGCCTTCTGCTGTCGCTGGGGCCTCATCTTGAAATGGGCCTGTGGGTACCGAGGTGGCGACCTGGGCCTGGGGGAGGTGCTGCTGGCTGAATCTGTGACCCGCAAGGGCATCCGCAGTCTCCCCAGTAGCCTCGCCACCGCATCCGAGGCCCCTGCCTCCCCAGGCTCTCTGTCACCCTGCCCTCAAGGCTGTCACCACTCATGTCCCCATTACTTTCTCCCTCCCGGGTCTTCCGTCCCCTCCCCTCACGGAGCTCAGGCCACCGTTTCAGGAAGCCCTCCCTGCCCCCCCTTCCTGTTGCCTGATATGGCCCAAGCACCAGCATCTTCCGCCAAGGCTGCTGGGCCCCACGCAGGCGCCGATGGGCTGCAGGGGGCCACCTCGCCCTTGGCGACAGGTGGGCAGTGAGTGGGTTTGGCAGCGGCCCTGGGGGGAAAGGAAGCCGAGAGCCACCCCTTTCCAGGGTTGGGTGACCCGGCGTCATCCCCTCTCCCCTGTAAAGGAGCTGTCGTTCCTGTTTTACAGGTGAGGAAACTGAGGCCCAGGACGGGAGTGCCCAGTGCCAGGCCACAGCTAAGTCGAAGACGTCCCAACCTGGAGGCAGGCCTGGCTCGGACCCTCTGGTGGACGCTGCCCCCGCTGCCAGGGCCGGCCGCAGGCAGCCTGGCACTCCAAGGCCTCTCCCCGCTTCCTGGCGATTCCCCGGCTGACGCGGGCCCCTCCAGAGGAAGACCTCTTATCCGGCTCATCTCCTGCCCATGGAGTGTTTTCTTTGTTCCAGATGGGTGGAGAGGCCAGAGAAACGGCTTGCCCAGACTCGGAGGGCTCAGCCAGCTCCTGAGGTCCAGTCTGATTCCAGCCCCCCAAGTGCCCCTCTCTGCTGGGTTTCCGGACCCCTCAGCAGCTCCCGTTTTCCTGATTCCCACACAGAAACACTACATGTCAGAACCCCCTCCCCTATTCCTCAAAGCCCGGGTGGAACCCCAAACGCGAGCGTGCAGCACTGCGGGCCCTCTGTCCTTGCCCAGTCTCGGCCAAGCCCAGCCCTGACGCCTCCTCCCTGAAGCCCTCTCTGACCGACTATACCCTGCCCGAAGGTCCTGGAGGGTTCCAGCCCCGCCCAAGCGCTCGCTGACCCTCCCCGTGCCTGGACGCCGGGGCTGTGGGGATGCGTGTCCGTACCCCACCTCTCCGTACCGTACCCCGTCTCTGTACCCCGCGCCGAGGCACCGTGTGGCCTACAGGGGGCGCCAATAAACCTGCCTGGCATCGCGTTCCGAGCTGGGCTCCCGCGTCCGGACGCGTCTGGGTCCCCGAGCGCGCCCGCCCCTCCCCCGCCCGCGCAGCGCTGGCCGCGCGCCGGCCACCCGGCCGGCCACACAGTAGCCGCTCAGACGGACTGACCCACATAGGCGCCCGCCCTGACCCTCCCCGGGGGCCGCCGCACGGTCTCAGTTCCGGCCGCGGCTCCCAGCCAGCACATCGCAGATAAGGACCGCGCCGCCCCCGCGTGGACACGCCGCGCTGCTCCGGGGACAGTGCTCGCTCGCGCTCCCCGTCCCAAGCGACGACAAGGACAGGCGCGGTGGCACAGACACGGGCTTTATTCGCACGTAGCTGCGGGCGGGCGGGCGGGCGCGCATCGCCCCGCGGCGTCCCCGGGGAGGGCAGGGCGCTCGCGGGCGGAGGCGGCACAGCGGCCCGCCACTTCCGGCGCGAGAAGCGGGGACTTTTCAAAACTTCCCGAGGGGCTCCGGCCCTCCCTGGTCCTCGCAGGCGCCGGAAGAGCCGGGCCAGGGAGGCCCGCACGTCTCTTTCCGGAAAAGGGGAGGCGAGCCGCTCGCTCTTTCTGCGGGAGGCACTTCCGCCCGCAACAAAGATGGCGCCGACGGGGGCGGGAACTCCGGGCGGAAGGTCACTGCGAGGGGGCGGGGCCTCCTCGCCCCACGTTGCGGTCCCACCAGGACTGGATGGCGCGTGTCCAGCTGGGGCTCTGGCGCATCTGCGTGGCGGTGCCCGCGCTCTTCGGGCGGGGGAGTCCCTCCGGGGGGGCAGGAGGAAAGGGAGAGAAGGCAGGATAAGCGGACCCTTCCTTTCCCCGCGGACTCGCGCGTCCCCGGCGTGGCCAGCGCGGCCAGCGCTGAGGGTCCCCGATCGCTTCCCTGGAAGCGCGCGGTCGCTGCGGCCCTCAGGGCTGGGGCCGGATCAAGACTAGAAAACCGTGCAGGGGCCGGACGAGGGCCACCTCGAGCCTCAGATTGGTTGGAACCGCAGATTTAGCACTTAGAAGCTGCGGCCGAACACCCCGGGGGCGCCCGAACGGGTGGCCTTTGCGCCAATGACTGGGGGGCCTCGGAGGACAGCCGCCGCGCCGGTGCTCACCTTGAAGGATCCCTGGAACTCGTCGCTCATCCTCCGGAGCTCGCGGCCATACCGCTGTGCGGCCCACAGGTTGGGGGGCGCCGAGCGCGAGCGGGCCCGGAAGGGGCTGAGCTCCTCCTCGTCCAGACCATCCTCCTCCTCGGACGCCGTCGGGTACGAGCTGTGGCGGCTCCGGATCTCCGCAGCCCCAGCGCCTGCAGAACGTCGGGTGACGTCGACCTTAGCTCGTCCGAGCCCCCAGCCCCGCCGATGTCTTTCACCCAGCACGCTGGTGCCCACCTCGGCCGACCCCCTGTAGATCCAGGGAAGCCGGGGGTGAGAGAACTGACAGTAACTTAGTTGCGCCCCACACCACTGAGCCCCATAAGGATGTGGGTAGAGAATGATTCCTCTGAGCTTCCCACGGAACTGGGGGTCTAGGAAGAGTCGTCAGTGCAAAGGGAGCCTCTGCTGGGGGCTTTCTGATACCCCTGATGAGAGGTCACTTGTCACCCATGGGGCAGCTCTGCAGGGGTGCCCAGTCCTGACTTGGGCCTCCTCCTGGGTACCAGGTGTGGAGCACTTTCCCCTGTCCCTCTGCCATCCTCCCTGCATCCTCCCTGCATCCTGAGGCGATGGCACCTCCACGCTGGCCCTGAGGCCAGTGGTGGCCCTGGAGCTCCGCCTGCCTCTGGGCCTGTACGAAAGGTTGCCAGAAGCTGCCAGAAGGTGCTTTGTTAGCTGGAAGGGCCACTGTGCAAAGGCTGGGCCCTGGGTCTGGCCTTATCTCACCCCACCACCTGGAACCACACCCTCCAGGGTCCCAAACCCGCAAACTCAGCTCAGTAATAAAGGGAGAGGAGAGGCATGGAGGCCAGTGGCCCTGCCCCGTGGCCAGGGCGAGGCTGCCTGCCAGGAAGGCCTGTTTGTCTTGGCACCTCACCCAGCTGTGCTCGGGCTCATTCCTGTCTCAGGGCCTGGGGACCCTAAGTCGTGCTGGGGACAGAACCCAGGTTGGCTGCATGTAGCACTAGCACCCTGCCCACTGGACTATCTCCAGCCCCCGGGGGGGCTTTCTGGGGAACAACTCCCTCTCCCCCCAACTCCTGTCCAGGGCTCCAGATTTGAGGCTGAGAAAAACCTAGAGAGCAGGTGGGCAGAATAGCTGGCGGGTGTCACCAAGCTGGCCCCAAGGCCAGGCAGGCCCCGCTTCATGGTGAGGTGTCTGGGAACGGGCAGGGGGACCAAGGGGGGCGGGCCGCTTTGTGGGCTGCAGGGGCCACAGGGCCACAGCTTTGATGCCACAGCGCCTGGTGCCACCCCTTCCCGTCCCAGCTCCCAGTGACAGGTGCCAAGCTATTACAGAGGTGGGTAACGGGGCATGTGTCATGCCGCCAGGCATCTCTGGTGCTCGGGGAGCACTGTGTCTCCTTGTGGGCCCTAAGAACCCACAGGCACAGCTGCCCAGAGGCAGAGTGGCAGTTCCCAGTGAGCACTGCCCCCTCAACCGGAAATCAGAGCAAGTGGAACAGAATTTACTAAGCGGCCTGGAGCTTGGCCATGTATATTCAATCCATGACACCCGCATCCCTGAGGGTTAGGCCACCCCCTGCCCCCTCTTTACCCAGGAGACATGGGGGTACAGAGAGTGCAAGCCACTTTCCCAGGGTCACACAGCTGGTAGGGGACAGTGGGACCCACATCTGGCTATCCAGCAGAACCGGCTGCCTCCCCAGAGACCCTGATTGGAGAGGCTGTTCGGGATCTTCTGCCCCACAGAAAACTCCAGTGGGTGGGGCGTTCGCACCATCATCACTGACACCCCTAGAGGGGGCCGTGGTGTAGCTCAGCTACTATCGGGGTAATGTGAGGACCTGGGCCTTCTCTGGCCACTATTTTTGTTTTTGTGGTTTTGGGGTCACACCTGGCGATGCTCAGGGGTCCTCCTGGCTCTGCACTCAGGAATTACTCTTGGCATGTTTGAGGGACCATATAGGATGCCGGGGATCAAACCCAGGTGGCTGAGTGCAAGGCAAACGCCCTCCCTACTGTCCTATCTCTCCAGCCCACCCCAAGCCATTTGTACCCCTGTCCCTCAGCCTACTGGAATGTTCCCGAGAGACTCAGGGGAAGGAGAGAACACAGCCCCAAACCACTGCACCCTCAACAGCACCCCACACACCCAGGGCACGGCTGCCTCCCAGAGGAGGGGCAGGGGAGGGAGGGGCCACCTCCTCGCTGAGGGTGGGCCTGGGGTGTGTGCCCAGCCCTGTGTGCTCCCACTGCCTCTGCGGCTTGGAGCGGGGGGGGGGGGGGGGTGTCCAGCAGAGCAAAGCTCTTAAATAACTGCCCCCCTGGGCTGCTGGGAAAGTGGGTGGGGCTGGACACACCCCCAATTCAAGGAGCTGGACACAAGGTCCGAGCCAGCTCTCCACTTCTTGGCCCTGCATACCCTACAGGGACACCTAGTACACCCTAAGGCCACTTGAGGGGGTCTGGAAGATCCTTCCTGGCCAGCAAGGATATTGCTGAAAAATGCAAAAGGATGGCCAGCGCGCGAGTTGCCACCAATGTCCCCGCCAACAGCGCCTGAGCTTCCGCCATGCTGCATCCACGATGCTGTCACCTGGGGACCGCAGCATGGGCAGCTGGCGTTCCTCACCTGCTTCCCTGCAGATTGGCATTGATTTCGAGGTAAACTGAGGCCGGGGAGACGGCTCAGTGGCAGGAGCGCCCACTTTGCAGGTGGGAGCCCGGGTTTGATCCTGGACACCTCCCCGTGGTGTGAACCCCAAACAGACAAAAACCATGACACACTGAACTCAGAAGCTTTACGTGAGCAGAAGTCTGGAGACTGGGGGGAAAGTGCTCCATGGTGGGGCCCAGGCCTGGCATGTTCGAGGCCATGCCAGGCACTGCTGGGTATAACCTGGCAGCCTCTGAGCACTGCTGGGGGAGGGGCCTATATATATGTGTGTGTGTGTGTGTGTGTGTGTGTGTGTGTGTGTGTGTGTGTGTGTGTATAGCAGTACTCAGGACTTAAAGCTCTTTTTTTTTTTTTTTTTGCTTTTTGGGTCACACCCAGCGATGCTCAGGGGTTATTCCTGGCTCTGCACTCAGGAAATACACCTGGCAGTGCTTGGGGGACCATATGGGATGCCAGGGATCGAACCCAGGTCGGCCACGTGCAAGGCAAACGCCCTACCCGCTGTGCTATCTCTCCAGCCCCTAAAGCTCTTCTTGGTCAGGGATCAGCCCTGGTGGTGCTTGGGGGACCATATGGGGTGCCTGGATTGAACCCAGGTACCTGCTGCACTGCTGCTCTGGGGAAGATCTTATTTTAACAAAGAGGCAGGGGCAGGAGCAATAGCATAGTGGGTAGGGCATTTGCCTGGCATGCAGCGACCTGGGTTCGATTCCCAGAATCCCATATGGTCCCCTGAGCACCACCAGGAGTAATTCCTGAGTGTATGAGCCAGGAGTAACCCCTGTGCATCACCAGGTGTGACCCAAAAAGCAAAAAAAAAATAAATAAATAAAAAATAAAGAGGCAGTTGGTGTTGTAAAGATAACAGGTACGGCAGACCGGAATTTCACCTCCGGCACCAAAGTCCCCTGAGCACTGCAGAGTGAGCCCTGGGCGTAGCCCCAGTGCCCTGCCCAAATCAAGGGGTTCGGCATGGGGCTGGAGCTGCCAGCCCTGCTCTAAGTTCTCCGTCTCTCTTGGCCTCACCCCTGCAGCACCTCCTGGCCCTGACCAGGTCTCACCTCTGCAAACAGCACCCCGAGTCTGCTCAGGGCAGGCCTCTCCACAGCAATACCAAGCACCCCCATAACCGCAGGGGCAGCCCTGGCACTGTCTCTCACTCACCCCTAAGGTGCGCGAGCTACTCCTGACTCGTGCTCAGAGGCCAGTCCCCCGTCCCCGTGTCAGTGGGTGTGCCCAGGCGGCAAGCAAGCAAAAGGGCATGCTCAGCCCACTGAGGCATCGCTCTGGCCCCTGGTCCCATTTCACAGAGAAGAAAACTGAGGCAGGGCCAGAGAGAGAGAGGACTCAAGAGGCTGGGTGGGGGTAGTTCTATGCACAAGGCCAGCTCTGCTTTGAACCCCGCCTCCTCTGGTCCCCAGGGCCCTGCCAGGAGTCAGGCCTTGCCAGAGGCCTGGGTTCCAGCTCTGAGCAGGCTGGGCGTGACCCCGAGCACTGCCGGGTGTGGCCCAGCACCAAGAGAGAAGGAAAGGAAGTCGCGCCGGCGCCGGAAGCTCCACTGCCCGGCTGGAAAAGGCTCCACCGGCCTCCAGCCCTGTGTCCAGCTCGCTCCCGCCCCCCAGACACCCCACTGTGCCCTGCTTTTCCCCCCCCTCCCCATGCTCCCCCTGCACCTGCCCTTGCTGGGGACTGACTTGGCGCCGGGTCTGTCCCGCCACACAAAGTGGCCACAGTCCCAGCCCGCGGGAAACCCGGGCCAGGTGGCAGGAGGGAACAGAGCGTTCAGCAGGGGGTCCCTGGCACTTTGGGGTCTTTTATGGAGAACAGTCACTTGCCTCTCGGCCCTGGCACCGAAACCCGGGCTTAGGAAGGCCCGTGTGGTCCATGGCGTGGTCCCACAGCCCTCCTGGGGGGCTTCAGGTGGACGCCCCATCCTGCTACCCAGCTCTGCATCTTGTTTTGTTTTGTTTGGGGGCCACACCTGGTGGTACTCAGGGGTTCCTCCTGGATCTGCACTCAGGAATCACCCCTGGCGGTGCTCGGGGGACCATATGGGATGCCAGGATCTAATCTGGGTTCGCAGTGGACAGGGCAAACCCCCCTACCCGTTATACTATCTCTTCGGCCCAGGGAGCCCCTACTTTGCACAGGTCACCCCAGCTTCCCGCCTGCCAGCCCACCAGCTCACCCCGATCTTGGCACACTGCTCTTCCCTGGCTCCTCCCCTACTGCATGGCCACCCCACCCCCGGCACAGACGGCCACAATGGGTCAAGTCTCACGAGAGGAGAGGGCGGTCCTCGATTGAGATTCAAGGCCACGAAGCTCAGCACTGGCTACCATGGTGTTGGCCCCTGGCCCGCCCTGGCCCGGACGCCCACTCCAAACCAGCACTCCTGCTGTCCAGGGCTGGGCCTCACCCGCCCTCACTGCTGCTCAGAGAGACACCTCCCGCCAAGCCCCCCTCCCCCGCCAAGCCCCGAGGCCACTGTGACCCCCCCAAGGCCACACAGCCCCTCCTGAGTGTCAGACTCGCTCCCACATCATCCGACTTCACCTCCCCGCCATGGGTGATTCCCATCAGGTTTAAAATGCTTTTTTTCATCTTCTTTTGGTTTCTGGGTCACACCTGACATTGCTCATAGGCGGGAGGGGGGAGGACCCCGTGGGGTGCCAGGATCAAACCCTGGTGAGCCATGTACAAGGCAAGTACCCTGCCCACTGTACTATCTTTTTGGCTCTTTCATCTTTTTCTTTTCTTTTTTCTTTCTTTTTTTTTCTTTTTGGTGGGGGTGCCCCTGTATGTGCCAGAAATGGAACCCAGAAGTGAGGCATGCAAAACACTCAAAGCAGTCCACTTTTTTGCTTGTTTTGGCTTGGGGGCAACACCCAGCTGTGCTCAGGGCTCTAAAAGCACTCCACATTTTCTGTTTGTTTAAAACTGGGTTCACACTCAGAGGTGCTGGGGTGGGGATGGGAGGCATGTGTCCTGCCAGTAAGTACCTTAAAAAAAGGAACAACAGAACACCCCAGGGGCCAGAGTGACAGCCATCCCCAACACCCCACACTATTTCCTGAGCACGGCTGGGACATATCAGGGCCCAGAATCAGGAAGAAGCCCTGAATACTCCCGGGTGTGGCCCGAGAGCCAAACAAACAGGGCCCAGCAAGACCACTCATAGGCTGAGCCTGGGCAGTGGATGCTGGACACCTGAATGCTGACACTTTTTTTTTTTCCTTTTTGGGTCAGACCCAGCGATGCTCAGGGGTTTATTCCTGGCTTTGCACTCAGGAATTACTACTGGCGGTGCTTGCAGGACCATATGGGATGCCGGGGATCAAACCCAGGTTGGCCACATGCAAGGCAAACGCCCTCCCCATTGTACTATCACTCCAGCCCCCACCTGAATTCTGACCCTGGCACCACGTGGTACCCTGAGCACTGAGCTGGGAGTAGCTGGTGAGGCGAGTGTTGCGTGGCTGGTTCAATCCAGGCCTGGCATAGTTCCCTGGGCATTGCCAGGAGGGACCCCCAAACTCTGAGCCTGGAGAAACCCCACTGGATGTAGGTCCAAAGCCAAAAAACTCAAAAGCAGAAAAGCGCCCCCTTGTGCGGGTCGTGGGCCGGGCCAAGCAGCCCCGCTGCAAAGGGCAACTCTGCTCTTGGCCTTGGTCCCCTCCCATAGCCCTAAACTCCTCAGCCACATGGGCCGCAGGACATCAGCTTCAGCCACTGGCCCTTCCCCGGCACATGGTCCTCCTGGAAAACGGGCCAGTTGGGTGCTGTCTCCCCTCTTCCCTGGGGCTGCAGGTACAGCTTGGGTGCTGTTCTGTCTGCACCAGTTCCCAGGGCCTTACCAGACCGGATGTCAGTGACTGAAACCCCTTGCGTAAAACCAGTTTGGAGGGCAGGAGAGATGGTGAGTGGGCGAGAGCCCACCTTTACAGGCAGGACACCTGGGTTCCCGGAGAGAGTACGGCCGGTGAGGCGCTTGCCTGGCACATGGCCGCCGACCTGGGTTCAATCCCCTGCACCCCTATGTGGTCCCCTGAGCTGGCCAGGAGTATGCCCTGAGCACAGGCGGATATGGCCCAAAACCCAAACCAGAAGGCCCAGGTTTGACCCTCGGCAACCATACACCCCCCCAAGGAGAGCCAGGTGGGGCTCCTACACAAAAGAAATGCAAAAGAAATGAGTATTTCCAAACAAAACAATCTCTACTAGAAATCGCCACCCAAAGGCACGGCTCAACTGACCTGCCCAAACCAAGCTCTTTTTTTTGTTTCGATTCTGGGGCCACAATCCTAGGTACTCAGGCTTACTCCTGGCTGCCTCAGGGGACCATATGGGGTCCCAGGGAGCAAAGCCAGGTCAGCCACAGGCAAAGCAAATGCCTCCCCGCTGAGCTATCTCTCTGGTCCAACGCTCCGGCTCTTGCCTGCCCATCCCACTTTTCCCACCCTCCCTGAGGTTGAGGCCAGGCCCCCCCACTCCACCCCGCAGACATCCTGAACACTTTTTTTTTGGGGGGGGTCACACCCAGCAATGCTCAAGAGGTCACTCCTGGCTCTGCACTCAGGAATTACTCCTGGCGGTGCTCAGGGGACCATATGGGATGCTGGGAATCGAACCCGGGTCAGCCACGTGCAAGGCAAACAGCCTACCCGCTGTGCTATCGCTCCAGCCCATGGGCACCTTTTCTTACTTCGCACCCCCACTTCCAATCTAAGACTGGCCAGCTTTGCCTTCAGTAGAAACCCAGAGTCCACGTCCTTATGCCTCCTACGGACCCAGCCCAGGCGTAGGTAAACACACACACGCACACACACACACACACACACACACATGCAGAGACAGCTCTTACTTTATGGCCCTACCCTGCTTCTGTCCCTCACAGAGTCAGCACAGGTGCCTGAGTCACACCAGTCCGCTCTGCGCAAATCAAGATTTCATTCCCGCCAGGCCAACCCGGCAGCACCCTCCAAGCCCCTCCCCCCCCATATCCCCCTACTCTTTGCAGGGCCAGATTCAACCTCAGGGCCATTGCATCTGCCTTCCCTCCACCTGCAGCTCGCATGCGGAACTTTTCACCTCTGACCCCTTCGGGTCCCAGTTCAACATAGTCTCCTCCCAAAGGCTGCCTCCGGATGACTTCAGTGAAAATCACTCTCCCTGGCAACTCCGGCCCCACAACCTGGGACCCCCAAACACTGGAGAACTAACTGCCTGCTAACCTTCCGACCTTCTATCACTGACTTGTTTGTCTCGTCTCATCCTCTTCCCTAGGGCCAAGACTCTTATCTCTTTCTTGGCCTGAGGTCCCCCTCTTTGCAGATGTGACAGCAGCAAAGCAAGCACTGGGGGATGGGGGAGACTTCCCAGAGGGGGTGGAGAGCTGCTGGGAAAGCGGCGGAAGTCTTGGAAACCAGGGTGCTGGGGTGGGAGGGGGCTAGGACCTTAGGAAGAATTCCTTCCCCCTCAGCTGAGGATGCCCCCAGCACAGCAGGTATGATCCCCAATCTCTCCACCATAAAAAGTTTCTTGCTCCTGGGGCTGGAGCAATAGCACAGCGGGTAGGGCGTTTGCCTTGCACACAGCCGACCCGGGTTCGATTCCCAGCATCCCATACAGTCCCCCGAGCACCGCCAGGAGTGATTCTTGAGTGCAAAGCCAGGAGTAACCCCTGAGCATCGCCGGGTGTGACCCAAAAAGCAAAAAAAAAAGGGGGGGGGAGCTGGAGAGATAGCACAGCGGGTAGGGCGTGCCTTGCACACGGCTGACCCGGGTTCGATTCCCAGCATCCCATATGGTCCCCTGAGCACCGCCAGGAGTAACTCCTGAGTGCAGAGCCAGGAGTAACCCCTGTGCATTGCCAGGTGCAACCCAAAAAGCAAAAAAAAAAAAAAAAGTTTCTTGCTCCTACAGATAGGGCTGGAGTCAGTAGGGTGGACTCAGGGAGGCACGCGGATTGTGTTCTATGTGGGCGTGCCAGGTGCCCAGGTGGGTAACGCTCACGGCACCCCCAGGCCCCCTCTCACATGCACAGGCCAGCAGCCTAGTAGGGTCCTTTGTCTCTGGGGATCATGTACCCCAGGCAACTGTGCCTGAGTCTCCAGTATGGCCCGGGGTGGGAAGACTTTGCCTGGAAGCTGGAAAGCTAGACCCCAGGGGAAGGAGAGGCCAGAGCAGGGGCCTGGCACCCACCACAGGAAATGCCCAAGTGGGACCCTAGTCACGTGACTTCCCCTTTCAGACCCACTACCTGCCTGGCCACCCAGACAGCTCTGTTTTGTCAGCAGTCACGCTGTAATATGCACTTCCTACACATCTCTGCTAACGATCCAACAGGTCCACAGTGGTGGTGATTAACTGCACCCCTTTACAGATGAGGGAGCTGAGGCAGAGAGGTTCTGGGCTTACAGAGGCGCCCAGTGAGCATGGATGGGGCTAGGGAGGCTGCAGGGAGAGAGGAGAGAGGCAGGGAGGGGATGCGGCAAGGGACCTACCTCCATGGTGGCTGCTACCAGCCGGCTGCTCGTGTTGGTGCCCAGCTTCCCACAGGAGCTCGGGGGCCGTGCTGCGGTGGTTACCCAGCCGCGCCCCCGTGGGGCCGGGGCACAGGCCCCGATCTGCAGGGCTGGAGTCTTCCTGCTCGCTGTGCTCAAACTCTGGGATCTGGAACATGCTCTGGGCTGTGGGGGTAAGATGGAAAGGCATTAGGCGTGCAGCTAGGGGGAAACGGGTGGCCAGATGGGGTGGGGGAACGCGCCCCACGTTTGCACCGCCCCCCCAGCCTCCCCGGGCCCCATCTGTCCGCTGAGTCTGGCCCGGTCGGGGGCTCAGCCCGTCCACCCGGAACCTAGATTTTTCTGTCGGAGCCCCGGGGATACGGAAGCCTGAGCCCGCCCGCCCGTGGGGACCGCGCACAGATCTCACCCCAAGCCCGGTCTCAAGGCCCCTGACCCGGGCCCGCCGCCTCCCTCCAGCCCAGAGAGAACCCAGCCCTAGTTGCCAGGGCAACGGAAACTGTCACGGAGCCGGCCCAATCAGCTCTCGAAACGTCACTAGGGCGGGTCAAGGGGCGGGGCCTGCAGTGCCTGCCCCGCCCCCGGCCCGGCCCGCCGCCTTCCTCCTCGGTGCTTCATCTCCGGGCGATCGGCCCCCCGATCTCCCAGGGCTGAAGCTCGCGTGGGAGCGAATGAGGGGCTTCTCTGGATTCTCCACTCGAAGCCTGGAGGCCGGCTTCTGCTGACAAGCCCTTCGGCTCCGCTGAGCCTTAGTTTTCACCCCTGTGAGATGGGGATCCCGCCACCTCCCCCGGGAACCCGGGAACTTGTACACCGAGAGGGGGTTACTGTGGGTGAAAGCCCTTCGCAGAGCCGTGACTGCAGCCCCGCCGTCAGATGCAACTGCTCCTGCTGTCACTGCTCCGTCTGGATCGGGTGACCGGGTCGGAAAGTCCCGCTCCCTCCTTCTCCCCACCAGCCGCCACTCCCCGCGCCATATCGAGATAAGGGAGGGAGGCTCCTCCCTCGCAGGATGACCGTCCCCGCGCAGTAGGGCAGGGGCCCCGCTGAGGGAGACCGGAGGACCGCGGGGGTTTCCCCGAGCGGGCGGGCGGCCGGCCAGGTGAGCAGGCCCTGCGGCCGGCCGGGGCGCGGGTGCGGGCGGCGGCGGCGGCGGCGGCTGCGGCGCGCGCGCGGGCCCGGGGGCGGGGCCCGGACGCCATCTTGGCTGTGGGCGGAAGTTTCCTTCGAGACCCGCTGAGTGGGGAGTCGTGACCGCCCCCGGCCGAGCGGCTCAGTCCGGCTTTGGCGATGGGGAAGAGAATCGAGGGTTCTGGACGGCCCCCCAGCCAGCAAGAGCCGGCGACCCCGGGGACGGGCTCCCCAGACGCCCGCCGGATGAGGCGCGGCTCGGGCCGCTGGGCCGCCCGCCGCCTCCCGTAACCCCTGGCGCCCGCCGGCGGCGCAGTGCGCGCCAATTCTCGAACCGCTGCGCGCCGGGCGCGGCGCGGGGCTGCGGCGCCGGGGTCCAACCCTGCGCAGTTTGCGTAGCGGACGGCGCCCGCGCAGGCGCAGGAGGGGGCGGAGCAGCGGGAGCCGGGGAGCCCGAGCCCCGGGTCCCAGCGACCGGAGCCGGCTGCCCCAGCGGCGGCCCGAGGATACGGCGGCGGCCGCCCCCCGCGTCCGGAGAGTAGACGCAGTCGGGGGGCGGGGGGCCGGGCTGGCCACAGCGTCCGGAAGCCCGAAGACCGCAGGCAGAGCCCCCCCACCCCCATTTGGATTATTGGAGGGGAGAGAGAGCCCCTCACTATGGGGAGGGGGAGAGCCGGGCGTTGAGCGCCCCCCGCAGGGACCGCTGCCCTGAGCCCTGGGAGGGGGCGGGGGCGCACCGGCTGGCTCTCCCCCTCCCGCCGGGACGACTCGACTCGGAGCTCTCAGGGCCAGGGACCCCTTCTCCGGCCGCGACCCCGCGCCCCGGCTCGGGGGTCGGCCCAGAAAGGCGACACTCCCCACTCCCCCATTCTGCCCGAAAGAGTCTGTCCGTCCACGCCCCTAAGTGAGGGGCCCAGAGCCAGGACTCCCAGGGGGGCGGCTGCCGGCGCCCCCGGAAGGGTCAGGGGCCCCGCGCCCCCGTCTCTGTCTGTCTGTCGGCACTCTGCAACTCCCACCCCTCCGTATTTATTTCCCTGGCCCCCCGCCAGCCCCTCCATCCATCTGCGCTGGACCCGCGGGCCCCCTGGCATGGAGACTAACCTGTCTGGCCTGGTGCCCGCGGCCGGGCTGGTCCCCGCGCTGCCGCCCGCCGTGACCCTGGGGCTGACCGCGGCCTACACCACCCTGTACGCGCTGCTCTTCTTCTCCGTCTATGCCCAGCTCTGGCTGGTGCTCCTGTACGGGCACAAACGGCTCAGCTACCAGACCGTGTTCCTGGCGCTGTGTCTGCTCTGGGCCGCCCTGCGCACCACCCTCTTCTCCTTCTACTTCCGAGACACCCCTCGGGCCAACCGCCTGGGGCCCCTGCCCTTCTGGCTGCTCTACTGCTGCCCCGTCTGCCTGCAGTTCTTCACCTTGACCCTCATGAACCTCTACTTTGCCCAGGTAACGGGGTGGTCCCCGGTGAGGGTTGAGGGGGAGGGGGCCGCGGGGCGCCGGGTCTCCAGGGCCCAGAGGAAGGCTGGCCTCTCCCCCCCTCCCCGGCAGGTGGTGTTCAAGGCTAAGGCGAAACGTCGGCCAGAGATGAGCCGGGGCTTGTAAGTAACGGGCAACCGTGGGCTCGGGGCCTCTCGGTGAAGGGACGCCGGCCAGGGATGCTGCGGAGAGCTTGGGCCAGCCCGCGTCTGGGGCAGGTGTCCCTGCAGTGATGGGGGGAGGGGGGCTCTCCAGAGCCAGCTGCACTTTGGGGTGACTCGGACGGTGCCTTCAGCCGTTTTCCTGTGTCTCTGAGGAGCAGTCACGCTCCTCTCGTTCCTACGCTTCACGGGGAGGCTGTTGGTGGGCACATTGGAGAGCTGGGGAAACTGAGGCCCTGACAGGGGAACGCAGCCTAGTCAAGGTCACACGCCTCCAGGAGGCGGATCTGGGCCCACACCCAGATTTCTGACCCCCAGGGAGAGGCTCATCCCTCAAGGCCACGGTTGGCGGCACCCCCCACCCCCCCGCCGACCTCCTGGGGCCCTGCGTCAGCTGCTCGGTTGAACAGGAGAGGGTAGAGGCTGGCATTACCTGGAGACCCCAGGGTCCCCTGGGCGGGTGCAGTGCAGGGCCAGGGCTGGGACTGATGGTGCCGTGGCTGCAGGCTGGCCGTACGTGGGGCCTTCGTGGGGGCGTCTCTGCTCTTCCTGCTGGTGAACGTGCTCTGCGCGGTGCTGTCCCACCGGCGCCGGACGCAGCCCTGGGCCCTGCTGCTGGTGCGCGTGCTGGTGAGCGACTCCCTCTTTGTCCTCTGCGCGCTCTCGCTTGCCGCCTGCCTCTGCCTGGTCGCCCGGCGCGCCCCATCCACCAGCATCTATCTGGAGGCCAAGGTAGGGCACCCCCCGCCCCTCACGGGCCCATGTCCAGCGGGGGCTTGGGGACAGTGCGGAAGCTGTAGCCTCCCTTCCCTGATTGTCGTCGTCTGCACCAGGGGACCAGCGTGTGCCAGGCCGCAGCCATGGGTGGGGCCATGGTCCTGCTCTATGCCAGCCGGGCCTGCTACAACCTGGCGGCCTTGGCCCTGGCCCCCAGGAGTCGGCTGGACGCTTTCGATTACGACTGGTACAATGTCTCTGATCAGGTGGGCAGTCCCGCCCCACTCTGCCTCAGCCTGGACCCAATCTGGGGGATTCCCCGGGACCCCTGGGCTGTTGGCACGGCACGGCCTTCCTCCTCCCCGCAGGCGGACCTGGTGAATGACCTGGGCAACAAGGGCTACCTAGTGTTCGGCCTCATTCTCTTTGTGTGGGAGCTGCTGCCCACCACGCTGTTGGTGGGCTTCTTCCGGGTGCACCGGCCCCCGCAAGATCTGGTGAGGCTCCCGTGGGGCTCCCGGGGCGGGCGGGCAGGCAGGTGACCGGGACAGCATGGTGGCGGGGTGAGTCGGCATCTTGGCGCCTCTCCGCAGAGCACCAGCCGCACCCTCAGCAGGCAGGTGTCCGGCTCCCGATCCTACTTCTTCGACCGCGCCAGCCACTGCGAGGACGAGGCCTGCTCCTGGGAGCACAGCCGGGGCGAGAGCACCAGGTAGGCGCGCGTGTGCGTGGCCGGCCCCAGCCTGCTCCATGGGGTCCTGGTGGCTCCGCGGGGTGGCGGAGGCGCCCCGAGCTGGCTCTCGTGGCCCAGGAGCCAGGGGTTCCGGTCACCCGCTCTGACCCGTGTCTCCGCCCGCAGCTTGTCGGGCAGCCTGGGCTCGGGCAGCTGGTACGGCACCGTGGGCCGGGAACCAGCCTGGTACGGGAGCAGCCAGACGCGGACCAGCCCCCTGCTCTTCTCCCAGGTGCTGGGACCCAGCAGCCACTACCACAGCCTCTACTCCACCCCCCAGACGTGAGCCCGTGCACTGTCTGTCCCCCCCAAAAAAACCCCAGCCTCCACCCCCCAGCCCCTGTGCCAAGTTCAGCTGCTGCTTCTTGTGCAGGACCCCTGGGGGGCCGTGGCTCCCCCCACCCCAACCTCCCAGCCCCCCACTGGCTCCTTGCGACTCCTGTTGTAGTGAGCTTGTGCGTCCCCTCGGCCCTTAGCGCTGTGGCCTGACCTGCGACACTGGCCGCCCCGCGCCATCACTCAATAAAGCGGCCGTCTGCTCACCTGTCTCAGTGCTCGCTTCATGGTCACCTGTGGCTGGCTCCTGGGGGGGGACAGGGGAATGGGTGACCCCCAGTCTGAGTGACCCGGGGAACTAGAAGAGGCCTCTGCCCTCTCCTGCGTCTCCCCACGGAACACTTTCCATAGTGACCCCAAGACGCCTCACTGTCCCCTCCTCCCTTCCTCAGGTCAGGCGTCTGCCCACTCCTGGGGCCTGGGCTCTGGTCACTGGCAGCCCTGGCTGCAGAGTACCCTCTGCCCACTGCGTCATGCCTCGCCTGTCCCTCAGGACCAGGGTGGGTGGAGGCCGGCGGCAGAGGGGTTGATCCGGATGGGCGTGGGGCTGGCCGCGAGGATGGTTCCGGGAGCCAAGCTCCCGCTGCCCCCAGAGTGCTGTCAGCGACCTGGTAGGGCCGCTCTAGCCCTGTGCTGGGTGTTCCATGGGGTCTCCTGACCCTCGGATACCCCAGCTGTTCCGAGTGCTGGAACCTGGCAGCGGAGGCCAGGGGCAGCCCCCGAGAGGGCATCTCAGGCGCCCAGTGGAAGTCAGCGCTGGACCAGGCCAGCAGTAAACAGCTTCCCTGGGCGTGCCGTGTGGGCGCCATGTGGGCTCCTGCTCCCGGCAGCTCTCCCAGCTAGCCAGCCACCTCGGAAGGCTCAGAACAGCACCCGAAGCGACTGACAGGCACCCATCCTGGGGAGCTGGGTTTCTTACTTTCAGGAGATGGTCAGGTGCGAAGACCAGCCTTAAAACCACCAGCCCCAGCTGGAGAGATAGCACAGCGGGGAGGGCGTTTGCCTTGCACAAGGCCTGACCCGGGTTCGATTCCCAGCATCCCATATGGTCCCTTGAGCACAGCCAGGAGTAACTCCTGAGTGCAGAGCCAGTAGTAACCCCTGTGCATCGCGGGGTATGACCCAAAAAGCAAAACACACAAAAAAACACCAGCCCTGATGGGAAAACACACAGGAGGGCTTAAGTGCCACCTTGCAGGTGGCTGACCCTGGGTGGGTCTCCAGCACCCGCTTTGAGGCCAGAGGACCCGGGACAAGTGGAGGGTCTTTGGCCACTTGGGGACCAAGGGGCTGTAGGTAAAAGTGGGTCATGACGGAGGGTGGAGTTCCAGGACCAGCTGGGCCCTGGCTGCTGGGTGTGGGGGAGGGGGTGCAGCCTCACTCCCAAGCTGGAAGCGGACCGCGGGCCGGGGGTTGCAGAAGCAACCAAGCGAGACTCCCGCGACCGGGTCCCTGAAAGTCCAGGTTACCCTCGTCGATCCCCACCACTCGGTCTCGCTGTGTCACATCTCCGCAGAGCGCTGAGCCCGCGGGCCGGGCAACCCGAGCGCAGAGCCGGGGCCCGGAGTGAGCGCCGCGCCGGCCGGTTAGCGGGGCGCTGGCCCCAAGGAGGAGCCGGCGGCGACCCCTCTCGGGGCTCCGCGCCCCTGCCCAGCAGACGGGAGGCCACGGGGGGGAGGGGAGACCGGGCGGCGGTAGGTAACGCGCCCGCGAGGGTGCGAGGTGGGGGAGCGGCGCCGGAGGCGAGGGCGCGGCCCGGAGGGAGGCGCGGCGCCGGAAGGGTTAAACGCGGGAGGCGGGGGGCTTCTGGCGGCGGGAGGGGGGGGTCCCAGCCCCGGCCCCGGCCTCCCGCTCCGCCCCTGCCGCCGCCTCCGCGGCCGAGCCGGCACCGGCGAGGCGGTGCGGGAGCCCGGGCCGCCGCCGCCGCGGGGCCGACAGTGAGTGCGGGGCGGAGCGCGCGGGCGGGCGCGGGCGGGACTCCGGGGCCGGGGGGCGCCGCCGTCCGTGCCCGGCGCCTCCGGCAGTCGGGCGGCCGCGGGTCCCGCCCGCCCGTCACGCCCCGGGCGTCGGCGTGAAGGCGTGGGGAGGCGAGGGTGGGGGGGAGCGAGCTGCGGGCCGCCCGGGGCCGGGCTGGGTGCGCGGGTGTGCGCACACGTGGGCGGGGACCTCTGGGTGCCCGGGCCGAGCGCGCGGCCCCTGGGGGTGCAGGGGTGCCCGCGAGCCCGCCCGCGGGAGTGTGCGGGCGCCCCGCGCACCTGCAGCCCGGGCAGCGCGAGCGGCGGGAGAGCCCCCGAGGACCGCGTGGGCGCGCGGGGCTTTGTGCCCGCCGGTGGGTGCGTGGGCGCCGCCACCGCGATCCGGGGGCCGGGGGCAGACAGCTGTCCTGGGAGCCGCTGCACCGCCGCGACCCTGCTCTCGTCCCCCACCCTCCACCCCCTCCTCGGGGCCCCCCTCCCGTCACCCTCTCTGCGCCCGCCTCCCCCACCCCTTCGCCTCTACGGGATCCGCCCCTGGGTTCCTCGAAAGCCCCGTGGGGCGCTAGGGGACCCTGAAGTCCGCGGCCCATCGGAGCAGCCAGAGGCCACGAAGATGCTGCAGCCGCAGTGGACATGCGGGTTCCGCCCTGCGCCCTCTCCGCGCGGGTCCCTGGCAGCGCCGAGCGACCCCGCTTCCTCCCAGCCTCCTCTCGCCAGCCCCCGCCTCGCCCACCCACCGGCCCCTCCGGTCCCCTTCCTTCCCTCGCCCGCTGCCCTTCTCTTCTCCCACCTTCTCTCCCGGCCCGGGGGCTGAGGGCTGGCCGCGGAGGTAAGGGGGAGCCCCGAGCGAGCGGGGGCGCACTGGAAGCAGGTGCTCAGGGACCGAGGTGTGAGCGGAAGACATCTGTGGGCAGCGGGGGCCGGGCTCCAGGGCACCAACAAGGATGCAGGGGGTGGGGGCTGAGGGTGAAGGAGCGGGGGTGTCGGGCCAGCTATTGATCCCAGCATTGCTGCTTGTGCCCGCAGTGACCGCGGCTCCCCAGGAACTCCCGGCCGGGGCCCCCCAGGCGGCCCGAGGGAGTGGCCACCGCGGCCCCGGGCGCACCATGCGCGGCTCCACGCTGTTGGCGCTGCTGGCGCTGGTGCTGCTGTACCTGGTGGCCGGCGCCCTGGTGTTCCAGACCCTGGAGCAGCCCCACGAGCAGCAGGCCCAGAAGGAGCTGGGGGAAGCCCGAGAGAAGTTCCTGCGGGCCCATCCTAGCGTGAGCGAGCAGGACCTGGGGCAATTCATCAAGGTGCGTGGGTGGCCGCCTGCCCAGCCGGCCAGCGGAGGGCACAGGGTCCCAGGGCCCGGCCCCCCATTGACCAATGGAGGCAGGGTGCAGCTGGCAGGGAGCGGCGCAGGGACTGGGGTCCAGGTCGCTGTGTGTTCAGTTGGGGGGGATGCAGGGACACGGGGGTCTGTGGCAGTGGACTGTCCCCTCCACTCCAGGTTGATGCGGTGGATTGAGGGAAAGAGGAAGAAACAGCCCTGTCGGCTCCCCGAGAGCCGCCCCATTTCCCAGGCTGACTTGCTGGCTTAGGGGTGCAGGTAGAATACAGGGCGCCCCAGCAGGGGGCTTTCAGCTTCCCTCTAGGATGCCCACCTGGATTCCTGTCCATCTAGACTGTCTCTGCTCACTCCGGCTCCACACTGGACGGAGGCCTTAGGGAAGAGACTAAGGAACATGGGGAGGTGGAGGAGTGTCTAGGCAGGTACCACTGATCTCGGGGAGCTCCTGCCCCCTAACGCTTGTCCTTGCCCCTCCAGATGCCAGTGTCAGCGGCCCTCCCCGCCGGGCCTCATGCTCCAGAGTGGCACGGCCAGGGTAGATGGAGGTCATTGCGGGTTTTTGCCCAAGGAAGGCGCTGGGCACCGGCTTGCCCATTGCCCTGACATGCACCGCTGTGGCTTTGCCTGACTTCTGTTGCTGTCACCGCGCACGGCAGAGCCCCAGTGTGAATAAGGGAGGGCCTTTCTGGAAGAGGAAAGCTCCTGTCCGCCGCTTGCCCAGGGCAGTGGGTGTCCCTGACAAGTTCCAGGGTGCCAGGACTTGAGCCAGGCAGACACGGGGTGGGGCCAGGACACAGGCAGCCTGGCACCTCTCCTGTCACTCCCAGAACCAGAGCAAGACTCAGAGACGCCTGGGCAAGAGCGCAGGGCACAGGGGCAGAAAGTTGACCTACTTTACCTGTTTTATCCTCACAATGGAAATATCCTCCCCCGCACCCCCCCCCCCCCCATGAAAAAGGAAACTAAGGAGAGAAGCTGCTAGAAGGATGGGAACAGTCCTACTGCGGGCTGTCATCAGGAAGGGGGACTGCTAGGGGCTGCATGAGGGGTGACAGGCACATGTGACACCTGGAAGATGGGACAGACTAGGAGCAGGTGACTCCTGGAGAGAGCAAGGTCACCACCAGAAGTAGCATGAAGGGAATTTACCTTCCTCGCTGCACTATGACCTATGACCTTCTGCCCTGTGCTGGCCTTGCACCAGGCCAGCAGGAGCTAAGGGGCCGCGTGGGCCGTTGGAATAGGACGTGTCTTGCTGAGGGCAAGGGACTGGCAGAGCCGGGAGCAGGGCACCTGGAGGGACTTGTGAAGTGTTTTCTGGAACTGGGGGGTGGGAGGGGAGGTTAGCTGCTACCACCTCATCGTGAACGGAAATGAGTGAGAATAGACACAAAGGCAAAGGCGTGGCCCGAGGGAGTCCCTTTACTGGAAAGTGTCGCAAAATAAAACCTCACTTTGAATCATGCACTTCAGTTCTTGGCTTTATTAAAGATGACCATGACCGCAGGGGCTGGGATGGCAGCAGAGCTGCGGGGAGAGGCCAGAGCTTTCTCAGAGCGGGTGAGGGAGCGCCATGGGCCCTGACGGCGCATGCGGGCGGCCCCAGGTTCGATCCCCAGCACGACCCTAGCGCTGCTGTGGGTGGCCCAAGAGCCAAAAGCAAGAGCAAAACAGAACACCCGGCTTGAGTTCCCAAATGGGCGTCCCAGGAGAGAGGCCTGGAGATGCGGAGAAGGGGTGTCAGCAGGGGGGCTGTGAGGTCAGACCTGGAAGGCATGGGTGGGGCAGCTGGCCGGGAACATTCATTTGCAACAGGTCTTGCTGAAGAGCATCAGGGCAGAGAGAAAGAAGACAGTGTTTTGGCTTTGATGGCATCTGGTAGTGCTCAGGGGCTACTCATGGCTCCGTGCTCATCAGTGGCTCCTACTGGTGCTCAGGCTCAGGGGGTGGGGGTGGGGGGGAGGTTACGGTGCCGAGGATGGAGCTTCTGGCCTGCGCTCAAACCCTTGGAGCGTTCTTCCTGGTCCCCCCAAAGCAGGTCTTTTTTTTTTCTTTTCCCGCAAAGTAGGTCTTGATCTCTGCTCTTCTCTTTTTGTGCCTTAGTTCTGTGCTCTCAGGGGCAGCCCTCTGCAGCCCGTTAGACAACCCCCCCCACCCCACCCCCGACTCGGCACTTGGGGAGGCATGCTTTTGAACAGACCCCCCTCCCGAGTCAGTTAATGGAACATCTATTGTGTTGTGCAGGTTTGTTTGGGGTTTTGGCAGACCCAGCAGAACCGTCCAGGTAGGGCTGCAAAGTGGGATGGTACAGGGACTGGAGAGGTAGTTTAGGGTACGTGCTGGCCTCCACTCACCGCTGTTTGATCTCCAGCCTCTGGTTCCCAGAACATAAAGCCAGGAATAGCTCTTTTTTTTTTTTTTTTGCTTTTTTTGGGTCACACCCGGCGATGCACACGGGTTACTCCTGGCTCTGCACTCAGGATTTACTCCTGGCGGTGCTCAGGGGACCATATGGGATGCTGAGAATCGAACCCGGGTCAGCTACATGCAAGGCAAATGCCCTACCCTCTGTGCTATTGCTACAGCCCCCAAGAATAGCTCTTAAAGGGCACTGTCTGTGACCCCTCCCAAACCCCAAAGAATAAATAGATAAAATGTGATGGTAGGCGCTGGAACAATAGTACAGTGGTTAGGGTGTTTGCCTTGCACGCGGCCAACCCAGATTCAATCCCCAGCATCCCATATGGTCCCCCCCAAGCACCACCAGGAGTAATTTCTGAGCGCAGAGCCAGGACTGACCCCTGAGCATTGCCGGGTGTGACCCAAAAAGAAAAAAAACAAGAAAGTGATGGTAGATATGTGCCTTTCTGGAGGGAAGGTCCTTATCTTTCAATAGATTTATTTTTTGTCTGCACCCAATGGTGCTCAGGACTTAATCCTGGCTCTGTGCTCAGAGATCACTCCTGGTGGGGCCTAGGGATCATATGGGGTACCAGGGATCGAACCTAGGTTTTCCACACACAACGCAGGTCACTACTCCAGCCCTCACTAAGTCTTCTCTCAGGAAAGGGACTCCAAATCCGCTCCCAGAGAAGCAGGGGGAAGTGGGTTGTTGAAAAGACGGAGTCATTTTTTTCTTTTTTTTTTTTTCTTTTTGGGTCACACCCGGAGATGCACAGGGGTTACTCCTGGCTCTGCATTCAGGAATTACTCCTGGCGTTGCTCAGGGGACCATATGGGATGCTGGGAATCGAACCCGGGTCGGCCGCGTGCAAGGCAAACGCCCTACCCGCTGTGCTATCTCTCCAGCCCCAAGACGGAGTCATTCTTGGGGGCCGATGGTACCCTCAAACACTGCTCACTCTTGTCACTCTGATTCCTAGTACTACATCTGGTCCCCACCCCCCACCCCCAGCCCTCAAGCACTGCCAGGAGGGATTTCGAAGTCCAGCTGGGTGTGGCCACAACCCTGAGACAAAACAATTTTCATAACAGCCCTACGAGATGCTGGCTTCATCCTCCCCATTTCCAAGCCAAGGGCTTCACCTCCCGAGCCGTCTCTCTGGCCCGCTTCCACCCTATTCCCAACACCTAGAATGAGAGAGAGAATGAGCTGGCCCCAGGCCCCAGCGCAGCAAGGCTGGACCCGGCCTGGGCACCCCAACCACGGTCAGAGCGGAAATAGGATGGTCAGAGTCGGGCCTCATATACTCACTCCTCAGCCAAGGTGGCGAGCAGGACCGGAAGTGTGTGATGAGGGACAGCTTTAGGGGAGAGCAGAGAAGGGTGGCAGGAGTCAGGGCAGGAGGGGAGGCCTGAGCTTCCTCCTTCTGCACCTTGTCCCGCAGGAGGTGGCAGATGCCCTGGGAGGGGGTGCAGACCCCGGAACCAACTCCACCAATCACAGCAACTACTCGGCCTGGAACTTGGGCAGCGCCTTCTTTTTCTCAGGCACCATCATCACCACCATTGGTGGGAGACGGGGACGGGTGTGTGGAGGGGAGTCCGGAGGGACCGAGGCAGCCCCTCGACCTCCTGCCTGGTCCCCCTCTGCCCAGGCTATGGGAACGCTGCCCTGCGCACGGACGCGGGCCGCGTCTTCTGCATCTGTTATGCGCTGGTGGGGATTCCTCTCTTTGGGATCCTGCTGGCAGGAGTCGGGGACCGGCTGGGCTCCTCCCTGCGCCGCGGCATCGGCCACATCGAGGCCATCTTCCTGGTGAGCTGCTCGTACCCTGCATGTCCTCAGGATCGCACCCCTAAGTCCCTGACCAGCGCCAGCAGGTGTGAAAAGAGGGGACGGGGAGGAGGTGAGGGAGGAGGGGCCGGGTGCCTCCTCCATCCTCCATCCTCCATCCATCCTGCCTCTCCTTCCCCGCCTTCGCCCCCCACCCCAGAAGTGGCACGTCCCCCCGGGGCTGGTCCGGGTCCTCTCGGCGCTGCTGTTCCTGCTGGTCGGCTGTCTGCTGTTCGTCCTGGCGCCCACCTTTGTCTTCTGTTCCATGGAGGGCTGGACCGAGCTGGAGGCCCTCTACTTCGTCATCGTGACGCTCACCACGGTCGGCTTCGGGGACTACGTGGCCGGTGAGGCGGAGTTTCTTCCTTCCTTGCCTGCTCTGTGCCTGCTTGCCGGTCTACATGCATTTGGCCACGTTCCTCCTCCCCCCTCACCCCCCCCCCCCGGCCCCAGTGGCCGCTTGTGGAATGCTGCCTTCCTGTGAGTGCCCGGCTGCGTATTCCATGCACCCCGACTCTCTTGCCTTCCTGCACCCTCGCACGTGCTCACTCACTGGTTAAAGTGACCGTCAAGGGGGCTGGAGCGATAGCACAGCGGGTAGGGCGTTTGCCTTGCACGCAGCCAACATGGCCAACCCACGTTCGATTCCCAGCATCCCATAGGGTCCCCTGAGCACTGCCAGGAGTAATTCCTGAGTGCGTGAGCCAGGAATAACCCCTGAGCATCGCCGGGTGTGACCCAAAAAGCAAAATAAATAAATAAGGTGACTGTCAAACGCTAATTCTTTTTTTTCCCCTTTTTTTTGGGTCATGCCCAGCGATGCACAAGGGGTTACTCCTGGCTCTGCACTCAGGAATTACTCCTGGCGGTGCTCGGGGGACCCTATGGGATGCTGGGAATCGAACCTGGGTTAACCGCATGCAAGGCAAATGCCCCACCCGCTGTGCTATATTGCTCCAGTCCCAAATGCCAAATTCTTGTTCCCCGAGCAAGTGTTTATATGTGCCAGCCTGTGGGCACGTAACACTTCCTGCAGGCTTAGCTCCAAGAAAGAAGCTCCTTTTGTTTTGTTTTGTTTTGTTTTGTTTTGGGGCCACACCTGGCGGTTCTCAGCTCTTGTTCCTGGCTTGGCTCAGGGGACCCTGTGGGGTACTGGGGGCTGAACTCAAGTTGGCCTGGCCAGGGAAGTGCCTGGCCCGCTGAAATCTCTCCCCAGGCCCGCCAGGAGAGCAGATCTCTCAAAGAGGCTGGGAAGTGGGTGCCAGGATGAGCTTGTTTCTGGTGTTGCAGGTGCCAGCCCCAACCAGAAGTACTCCTTCTACCAGCCACTCGTGTGGTTCTGGATCCTTCTTGGCCTCGCCTACTTTGCCTCGGTGCTCACCACCATCGGGAACTGGCTGCGAGTTGTCTCCCGCCGCACACGGGCAGAGGTAGGCGGTGCAGGCCGGCGCCAGCGGAAAGTCAGCCAGCTCCCCTGCCCAGGGTGGGCCAAGCCTGGGATGAGGAGCTGATTGGGCTGGTGTGGGTGATGCCGTCCCTGCTCTGATGGTGGGGTGTGAGATTTTGGGGACCGGGGACAGGAGAGGGCTCAAATGCTGGAACATATGCTCAGCACGCTGGAGTTTTGGTTTTGAGGTTTGGGGGTCGCACTTGATGGTGCTTGGCAGAGGACATTATTCAGTGCAGGGATCAAGTGGGCCTTGTGTTTTTGTTTTTGTTTTGTTTTGGGAGGGTGACTTTTTGGGTCACACCAGCGATGCTCAGGGGTTACTCCTGGCTTTGCACTCAGGAATTACTCCTGGCGCTGCTTGGGGGACCATATGGGATGCCCGGGATCGAACCTGGGTTGGCTGCCTGCAAGGCTAACACCCTCCCCACTGTGCTTATTGCTTAGTGGCTTGTTCTTGCGCTACAGCTGGTGGTGGTCAGGGCTTACTCTGGCCTCCACACATGGGGTGACTCTTGGTGGTGCTCAGGGGACTATAGGGCACAGCAGAGATGGGACCTGGGTGGCAGCATACAAGGCAAGTGCCTTACTTGCTGTGTTCATTTTCTTGGGTGAGCTCAGGGTTACTCCCTGGCACCCCTGGGTCCCAGCACCACAGAAGCAGCCCAGAGCATCCTTGTGGGTGGCACTGTTAGGAGTGGTTCAAAAGTCAAGTTGTTGTTTTTTTTTTTTTTGCTTTTGGGGTCACACCCAGAGATGCACAGGGGTTACTCCTGGCTCTGCGCTCAGGAATTACCCCTGGCGGTGCTCAGGGAACCATATGGGACGCTGGGAATCGAACCAGGGTTCGTCGCGTGCAAGGCAAGCGCCCTACCTGCTGTGCTATTGCTCCAGCCCCCAAAAGTCAAGTTTTATTTTATTCTATTTTATTTAGGTTCTGGGGGTCAAAAGGTTTAGGCCCAAAACTTTTATTTTATTTTGTTTTCCTGGGTGACTCACCCAGTGAGATGCTCAAGAGTTTCTCCTGGTTCTGCACTCAAGAATCACTCCTGGCAGTGCTCCGGGGACCATGTGGGGTGGCGGGGGACTGAATCCGAATCAGTGGCAGGCAGGCAAGACAAGCGCCCTACGCACTGTACTATTGCTCCAGCCCCAAGTTTTATTTTTTAAGCAGGAAGGAGGCCCAGTAAAATGCGAATATCAGGGAAATAGCAAATAATGTCTAGTGCCTCCCAGTTGTCCCCTGGATATGCTCTTCCAGAGATTTTTTTTTGGGGGGGATCATTTATCTGAAGTTCCCATTTAACTAGATCATTTGTAGGCGGTCACCCAGCTTGGCTGAGAAAGCCCAAAGGTGTCTGGGGGACAGAGAAAAAAGAGCTGAAATAAAACGCGGTTTTTCTCAGCAAAGTGCTGGGCCAGGGCTGGAGAGATAGCACAGCGGGTAGGGCGTTTGCCTTGCACGCGGCCGACCCGGGTTCGATTCCCAGCATCCCATATGGTCCCCTGAGCACCGCCAGGAGTAACTCCTGAGTGCAGAGCCAGAAGTAACCCCTGTGCATTGCCGGGTGTGACCCAAAAAGCAAAAAAAGAAAAAAAACACTGGGGGCTGGAGTGACAGCACAGCGGGTAGGGCGTTTGCCTTGCACGCGGCCGACCCGGGTTCGATTTTCAGCATCCCATATGGTCCCCTGAGCACCGCCAGGAGTAACTCCTGAGTGCAGAGCCAGGAGTAAACCCTGTGCATCGCCAGGTGTGACCTAAAAAGCAAAAAAAAAAAAAAAAAAGTGCTGGGCCGGAGGGGCACCCGTGCGGGAGGGAGGGGGAGCCTGGCAGGGGAGGACCCGCGCGGACCCCGCTCCCCTCCGTTCCTGCGCGCAGGTGGGCGGCCTCACGGCGCAGGCGGCCAGCTGGACGGGCACCGTGACGGCGCGAGTGACGCACCGCGGGGGACCCGGGGCCTCGGCGCCGCCGCTCGAGAAGGCGCCCCCGCGGCCGCCCTCCCCGCCGCGAGCCGCGGAGCCCCCCGAGAAGGCCGCGCCCCCGTCCCCGCCCACGCCCACGCCGTCGGCGCTCGACTACCCCGGCGAGAACCTGGCGTTCATCGACGAGTCCTCGGACACGCAGAGCGAGCGCAACTGCGCGCTGCCCCGCGCGCCCCGGGGTCGCCGCCGGCCCCCCAGCGGCCCCCGCAAGCCCGCCAGGCCGCGGGGCAAAGGCGCGGCCGTGTGACGGGACCCCCGGGACCCCCGCCCGCCCGGGTCTCCCCCAGGGATGCTGTCCGAGTGCTTTCTCCCCGGCATGCTCTGCTTGTGTGACCAAAGAACCCTCTTCTCGACCCGACGGGCGCCGGCGACGGGGGGAGGGGGGCGGGGGGCGCGCACCCATCTGCAGACCCCGGCCCGGCCCTCACATCTCACGACCGTGCCTCAAAGCCTGTATCAATAAACCTGCAGTGTGCACCTCGGCGGGCGGCTGTGCGTGCCTGCGTCGGGCCCCCGGGTTGGGGGGACCGGTCAGGGGGACAGGCAGGCGCCCCACCCCAGGCCACTCCTTCCCGCGACTGGCCAGGTTGTGAGGGGCGGGGGGAGGGAAGGGGAACTTTGGTCCTGCAGCGGATTTGGGAGTTGGGCTTAGGATCAACCAGTCTGGCCCTGCGGCTTGGAGAGGGGGTGGGGGGGGTGCTGTGGCGTGACCCCTCCGTCTCGAGACCCCCCTGGGCCTTCTGGAACGCGACCTCCCCCACCCCTCGCCCCATGCCAGTTGGCCACAGAAACCGTTGGGGCTGAACCTTGGAGGAGGAGCTTAACAAAGTAAGACCGCCTCCCGCCCCCTACTTAGACCCCAGACCAACCCCAGGTGCCACCCTGTCATTCAGCTTTGGGGTTCTAGGGTTGCCCACACCCTCCTCTACTTACCTCAGCCCCCAGTCCGGGCAACTGACCCCCATCCCTCCCTCCCTCCCTCCCCCCACCCTGTGATTTCCTCCTTTTTTTTTTTTTTTTTTTTTGCTTTTTGGGTCACACTCAGCGATGCTCAGGGGTTGCTCCTGGCTCTGCACTGAGGAATTACTCATGGTGGAGCTCGGGGACCCTATGGGATGCTGGGAATCGAACCCGGGTCGGCTGCGTGCAAGGCAAGCGCCCTCCCCGTTGTACCATTGTTCTGGCCGGTCGGCTTCCCTCCTTGTATACAGGTGTTGGTTTGTCCAAGTCTTTGTACAAGATGAACCCGCCCGAGGACATCCGGGATCTGTGGACCAAGGCCACGCTGTCACAGGTGGATGGGTCTGTGTCCCTGAACATAATCTATGAAGACCTCGAATCACAGAGCAGTTACTCAAGTTCCAAGACTGATCCTCAGTGGAGCGTCAGCAAAGAGTCCCTCATGCACATCTGGAAAAGACCGGAGTCCGAAGAGAACATCTCGCTGCAAAAGTCCAGCACCTTCACGGATAAGATCAGCCTGAGGAAGCTGTTAGAGCGGGACAAGCCTATATACAGGTCAGTGAAGCCTCCCCGAGGCAGTGGGGGGAATAGCCAGGGCCTCAGTTTTATGGGGGGATGTTTGGCTCACACCTTGCAGTGTTCAGGGATTATTCCTGGTTCTGCACTCAGGCACAAGAGCCAAGAGCCCTACCTGCTGTACTACCTCATTGGTCCTAGGGCTTCAGTGTTTGTTGCTGTCACACACTGCAGCACTGTCCTCCCATTTTTCATCCATTTGCTCCATGGGCATCAGTAACATTGCACAACAAATTGTGAGACTTGTTACTGTTTTTGGTGTATCAGTTGCCGTGCTGGGTGAGATACTCTTGGTAGCCTGCCAGGCTCTCCGAGAGGGGTGGAGGAATCGAACCCGGGCAGGCTGCTTACAAGGCAAACACCCTACCCTCTGTGCTATCGCTCCAGCCTCCATTTATGGAATTGGGGAGGGGAGGTCTGAATCATTCAGACTTTAAATCAACCAGACATCCTTGGAGCGCCCCCTACTGGAGGTGCTGATTGAGACCCTGTGGGCGTGGTTTACCCGCTCAGGGGACTCAAGTTAGCTTGGTAGGACCAGGGCTGTTTGGGGGGCGTGAGGGAGAGGTGGGTGAAGTGGTGGCCATTCCCAACCATGCTCAGGGACCACTCTTGGAGGGGGTCCAGGGACCCTATGTGGGTGGGGCATGGAACCAGAGTTGGTAGTACCATAACGTAATGTTATCTTTCCAGCCCTGAACTAGTGCTTTTATTTTTTAATCATTTGTTTTTATTTTTATTTTTTTCCCCACACCTGGTGGAGTTCAGGGCTGACTCCTGTCTCTATGCTCAGGGATCATTCCAGGCAGGGTTCAGGAGACCATACAGGGTGCAGTGGTTAGAACCTGGGTTGCCCAAGTGCAAGAGATACGCAAAAAAAAAAAAAAAGCAGAAAGAATTGAAAACAATTTCCATTGAAGTAGGACTTTCGAGTACCAGGTGCCGGGCAGTGAACTATTTCCACATCATTTCCTTTGTAGGGGGCAGGGGATAGGGTTTTTTTTGGTGGAGAGTGTCACACCCATCAGTGCTCAGGGGTTACTCCTGGCAGTGCTCAGGGAACCACGTGGGACACCAGAAGTTGAACCAGGGACAGTTATGTGCCCTACCCACTATTCTCCAGCCTCTTGGGGGTGAGGGTTTGGGCTATAGCTGCTCAGGGATTATTCCTGGCTCCATGCTCAGGAATCAATCCCAGCAGTGCTCAGGGGATTCTGTGGTGTCAGGGATTGAACCCAGGTTGATAATGTGCAAGGACAGTACCTTACCCACTGTGCTCTCTCTCTGATGCTCACTACATCTCCTTTTAACTTCACAATTCCCATAGAAAGCCATCCTGTGGTCCCACTTAATATTTTTGATTGGGAGCTGGAGCGATAGCACAGAGGGTAGGGTGTTTGCCTTGCACGCGGCCAATGCGAGTTTGATTCCCACCATCCCATATGGTCCTCCGAGCACCATCAGGAGTAATTCCTGAGTGCAGAGCCAGGGGTAACCCTTGTACATCGCCAGGTATGACCCAAAAAGAAAAAAAAAAGAATTTTTAAAATTTTTGAGCCACAGCAGTGCTCAGGCATCATTCCTGATGGGGCTCAGGAGGTGGTGGTTTGGGGGGCTCGAGTTTGAACCTGGGTTGACTACATGCAGAGCAAACACACTACCTACTATACTGTAGCTCTGGCCCCTACTTTTCCTCTTTTATAAATTACACTTAAAAATGCATGGGGGGGGCTGGAACGATAGCACAGCGGGTAGGGCGTTTGCTTTGCACGCGACTGACCTGGGTTCGATTCCCAGCATCCCATATGGTCCCCTGAGCACTGCCAGGAGTAATTCCTGAGTGCAAAGCCAGGAGTAACCCCTAAGCATTGCTGGGTGTGACCCAAAAAGAAAAAAAATGCATGGGGGTGTGGTGTAATAGTACACAGCCTTGTACATAGCTGACCGGGTTCGATCCCCGGCATCCCATCTGAGCCCCCTAGCATCATCAGGAGTAATTCCTGAGCATCGCCAGGTTTGACCGCCCCCGCCCAAAAAAAAAACAAAAACACAACGCATGGGGGAGGGTGGCAGAAAATAGTACAGTGGATAAGGAACTTGCCTTGCACACAGCTGACTCAGGTCCAATCCCTGGCACCCCATATGGTTCCCTGAGCACCACAGGAGTGATTCCCTAAGCATAACTAGGAGTAACCTCTGACCACTACTGGGTGTCACCCCAAGAAACAGAAAACAAAAAACTACACGGACATAAACTTGGCAGTGCTAGGAACTGCACCGGCTGTGTGCTCAGCCACTCCTGCAAGTGGTCACAGGGCCATGTGGTGGCCTGCATGCAAAGCCTATGGAGCTTCAACCACTTTTTTTTCCCTTTTTCTTTCTTTTTGGCTTTCCGGCCACACCCAGCAGTGCTCAGGGCTTCCTCCTGGCTCTGCTCTCAGGAATCACCCCTGGGCTGGGCCAACCTCCTCTTAAAAAAGATTTTGGAGGGACAGAAGCAATAGTACAGCGGTAGGGCAGTTGCCTTGCATGTGACTGACTCAGATTTGATCCCCGTCATCTCATATGGTCTCCCCAGGACTGCCAAGAGTAATGCCCTGAGCACAGAGCCAGGAGTAACCCGAGTATTGCTGGCTGTGACCCCCCCAAAACAAGATTTTGGGGTCTTTGGGCCACACGCAACATTCCTCAGGGATTACTCCTGGCTCTGTGTTCCTCTGGGTTGCTCCTGGCGATCCTGGAGGGGACCAGGGGTACCGGGGATTGACACCCCCATCTCCTGCAGGCAAAACCTACTATCAGCCTGTGAAACTCACTTGCTGTCCAACCCCACGGTCCCATTTCAGAGAAGAACTTGAAAAGTTTCACTTGCTGATTCTTTGTCTCACAGTTGAAACTGGACCTTGGGCTGGACCATAAGGTACTTGCCTTGCGTGCATCCTACCCAGGTTCGATCCCCGGCACCCCCATTTGGTCACCAGAACACCACCCTAAGCCAGGAGAGAGCCCTGAGCCTTGCTAGAGGTGACTCCCCCCACCCCCAAATAAAACCAAAACACACACATCACCAAAGCTGGCTGCTTAGTAGGTGAGACCAATAAGGCCAGGTGGATAGAAACCACTGTCCCTTACAGTTTTCCCACGGGTAGAAACTGGAAGGAGACTGAGGATACTGCCCTCCCCGCAGACTTACCCCTCTTCTGTTTCTCTTCCAGAAAAGCCTCTTCAATCGTACCCGGTGCCCATAAGTACGCACCCCATAAACCTTACTGGATGGAGCAGCACACCAGGGTTGGAGGCACATGGGAAATGGGATTTCAGTGGGGTGCAGGGTGGGGGGCTGAGGAGGAGGAGGGGCAGGCAGTCTGGGATCTCAAGGCTAGAGGAAGCGGGAGAGACTTCCACCGGTGGGCAGAGCTAAGCTCCCTGGATGCGCAAGCCTCTTTTTTATTTTATTTAATGAATTAATTAATTTGCCTTTTGGGTCACACCCAGCAATGCTCAGGAATTTCTAACCCTAACCCTAAACCTAACCCTGGCTCTGCACTCAGGAATCTCTCTTGGTGGTGCTGGGGGGGTGGGTTGGGGAGGGGGGAATCGTACAGGCTGCAGGGGATTGAACTCAGTCCACCGCATGCAAGGCAAACACCTTCCCTGCTGTAAAGTCTCCCCTGAATCTCTTTCTTGCTGCCTCTCCAGCTGCCGCTGCCACTGGAGGAACTGATGGAAAACGAAGTTCTGGAAATCCTCACCAAAGCTCTCAAGAGTGAGCCCCTCCCTGTGCTTCCACAGGGGGCCCTGGGGAATTTTGCAGATGGGGGGTGGTCCCTCC